GATAACGAGAATTTCATTTAATTTTCATTGCATTTCCATTATTCAGTTATTAAAAAATAAACATACGCTGTGAAATCTTTATGTGTACGTACATAAGATAATTCACTATGGTCTGTTTAAATAGAACGCATTAAAAAGATAACCAAGTTATTTTTAAAGAAATTTTCAAAGAATTGTTCTCTGAGTAATAAATGGAAACAATTTTTATTATCATTAATTAATCTCTTTTTGAGTTGTAATAGTACATTAACAGACAACCTATGGTCGGGTCAATTATTAGTTCATTTACTTTTTCAGCTATCAAAAAACGAGGAGGTTTTTTAATTCGGTTATATTTTTTTATATCTATTTATTACGTCAGATATTAACATTTATAAACAAATTTGAAAAATTCTTTTCATTAAGTTTTATTTCATACATGCCTCTTCTCTACTGCGACTACGAAATTAAAGTTGGATAATATTATTTTTAGTATCTTATATTAAATACTATAAAGAGTTTTCCAAGAAATTAAAGCTGATATTTTTTTCAAAAAGTATTAAAAATGCTTTCTTCAGGGTCGCTAAAAAAAATACTGATCATCTGACTTTGTAACTGATTGGGCAAATTTGATGTATGTATATATATATATATATATATATATATATATATATATATATATATATATATATATATATATATATCAAATTATACAACATCTGTAACTATGCAATAATGGTACCTACCATGGATGTAATTCTGTGATGAAGCATGAAGCTAGCTGTAAGAATTATATTACAAAATGTAATCCCATTGCATTTGGGCTAATTTGTTTTGAGCTTGTATAAGAATCCAAAGAAATTAACACATGATAGTAGAGGCCTATCTTGAGGCACAAGCCATTCAATTAACATGGTATTCCCTTGTAACCCCGTGGACGTCATATTACTTCATTATAAAAATCGACAAATAATATGGGCGCCCATTGTTTTCTTAGTTTATCTTTTCTTGTAATTGTTCGTATCTATAATTTAAGTTTAATCGTATTACTGTAATCTTTTAGAGGAAACAATAAAGAGTATCTATTTTACTATATATTTGTTTATTAAAATAGATTAGTTACATATTTACATTGGTATCATTTAGTATTTAATTTTGTATAGATAATATAACAATAAAAAAGTAGGTATAATGTGTTGAGAGATAGTGATTTTTGTACAATACACAATATTAATTTTGGATAAAAACATCAAACGTACCTATGTCGAAATCAATGGCTCTATGCCAGGTCGGTAATGCGATTTCCGCACTACATGATATTTTGTAAGATCTATTTTCATATAGTTAGGTAGGCAGTTACTATAACTGCACGCATTGGTACAGATAAAAATAATAACCAAACTTTTTGATCACGATTTTGAAATTCTAATTGTCCACAATACCTACATATAATGCCTATGCCTCTGGTGTCCCCACCAATGAGTAATAATAGGTGACGGCGAAATTAGGTTAGTTAGCCCATCGTGACGAATTCCAGAAGAATTAACTACAAGAGTTTCCAAGAAAAACCGCGAGGAAATCGACCTGATAGGGTATATTACTTGCAATGGGGCTGTTAGACCCCATTACTAACAATCCCTTTACTTCCAATGGTTGAGTGTTTTTATAATATAAATAATATCTTTATATATAGGATTCTTTTATTCAATCTCGAAAAGAGACTTCTAATTCTATTAATCAGATTTTATTCATAAAAATAAAAATAAATAACCGGTTATTTTGATATTAAAGTTAAAGTACTGAACCAATTTTGATAAAATTTCTATGACTACAATATACAGATTTCTATGACTATAATCTACAGTAGATTATTTCAGACAAAGAAAGAAATATCCAAATCGGTTTAGAACTAACGGACTTATAAGGTAACAAACAAACAAAAAACAAAAAAATATATAAACAAATTGAGAACTTCCTTTTTTGAAGTCAGTTGAAATTGCTATGAGATGTTAGAAAACGAACAAATCAGAACACTCAGACCAGAATATGTCTCATGCCCCCTTCCACATGTAAATAGTGATCAGTATATGACATACAAGTCACATGATCATTGTATTTATGCATAAATAATTTATATTCATTCAACCTAATGTGTTATACATGTTAATTCATTTTATTATGTGAATAATTTAACCTGATAACTAATCCTGGCAACTCTAAATAGGTATAACAAACATCCATATTTCCTTCTATAGTAGGGCTTTAATGAATTGTACAAGTTTACTAACGCCGTGACGGACATCGACCGGGAAGTGAGTGCATTTGTTTCGTCACAATTGGTCCAATTCTCTCATGTTGGACAAGGACTTGTTATGGAAAATCATGTTGATTTTGTACAAAACTACGTACGAATTAAAAATGGTACCCGTATTACAGAATATTATCTAGATGCGGAAAATGTACGTGAGTGGAAAGTTTTATAGAGAAATAAAATTTCAAATAGGTAGATAGCATTAGTAACTGCTATTACTCTATACTATAGCTATATATGTATACTATATATTCCTTTAATATATCTCAACAACTACTGCTACTAACTCTATAATTTCATTAGTATCTATTATTATTATTGTGTAAAGTACTTTATCAGGTATAAAAACCTATAACACTGCGATCTCTGTGATCTATTGTTGCTGTCCTTTTTCAAGTTCGCTTCTAATTCCTGTCAGTGAGTTTTAAGATGTTCTTATTAGCGATGTTTTTATCTTAAGATACAATGTATATTTTCTAAAGGAGATATATTGTTTGGGTAAGAGTAGGCTGCAAACACACATTATTTGCTGTGGCGTCCCTTTCTAATTCTGACAGTATCTAAAAACGGCTTTTGGGTATAAGCTTTGTTGGGCCATGTGCTTATTTTGTTTGAAGTATCGTAAGAGCCCTCACTGTATAATTAATATGATTAATTAATAAGTATAAGTAATCAAATATAGTCTGTGAGATAGCCAATAAAAGTAAAAACTTATTCTTATGACTCTCGGAAAGGAACAATGGAAATAACAAGCAGCAATATACGCAGGGTGAAATTGAAATGTAGTATCTTTTCAATTGAGTTTTCTACCTGTGAAGTTGACCATTTGTTCCAAAGAAAGGCAATTCTAAAAATAAAAAAACCAGGTACACGTTTACACACTGAGGGCTCCGTACGTAGATATATAATTATTTTTATTATTTATTTAAATAAATTTAACATAATAAATACAACTGAATTATGAATTTACTTTCTAAAATCAGTTGAAAATGACCTTTGTTGCATTTCTCGAATAAAATATACACCTAATAGGTATTATTATATATATATGTACATACACACACATCATATGTAAACTTACTTATATATTTGTGCATTAAAGTTTAAATAAATAAATATTATTGGTACTACAATTCATAATTTCTTATTTTGGGTGATAATTGTTATTAAAAACTGCAAACCGTATAATTAAGTCTGTTTTTAAAGGATTTTGTCAATTTCTAAAAAAATTAAGTACAGATAAAATAAATAGATATTTCTAACTGATACCGGTTAGAAATATTCATTTATTGTACTTGTAATATTTACATATAGTTTTATAAATTGTAATTATTGCAGATTTTTCACTTCGAAAACTTAGAGATAATAGGTAAACATCTTTTTTCTCACATTTTCGATCATAACTAAAAAACTAAATAACATAAAAATATATAAAAATCAGTTTTAAAACATACAAATGAAGCCTTTTCATACGATACCTCATTTAGACTAGCATATAATTCTTTTAATTTTAAGTACATTTTTTAGATCCCTTAGGAAATTTTTTTTTTATATGTAAAATTATTCCAAATTACGAAACATTAATAGTTGTTAACATATAATGCTGAGACAGGCAGACGGACGGATAAAGTCTTATAACGATATAGACGGATAAGGGTTCTTTTGTAACTTTTTGGTATGAAACTCCAAAAAGAAATTAAAGTGTCCCATGCTAAATAATCAGTTATTTACGATACGGCACGTCTAGCAGTAAAGTTATTAATTATGGGAGCTCTATACTAAATTTTTTTGTCATTTTTCGATCTACAATTTGCCATTTATTTTACTTACGACTAAAAAAGTATTTCAAAGATGCTAATGATTTAGATTTCACTTTGTATATGTATGGATTGCAAAATTGTTTTTCTATAATTGCCATTATTATACTTAATTAGGTAATTAAAGCAGACAAGTGATTATTACTGCAGAAAACTAATTTACTTTTAATATCCGGTATTACCATTGAATTGGAGAGAATCGTAAGTACCTACCTACTACCTATTTGTTTGTAACACGAAAAGAAATTGACTAATAGTTTTGCGAACAAAACAGTCACCAATTTCAATCGTGACAAGATTAATTTGAAACTAATAGAGTAATAAAATTCTTTGAATACAAAAAAAGTTACGCAAATCGGTTTAGAACTGTGCAAAGATACAATTTACGTCCTTCTTTTTATATTGCTTAAAAGAAAATGTACCTATAACCTACTATAGCCTGCTTGGACATTAGTAGTCTTATAATAAATCAAGCCGGATTAAGATTTGCAAAAGTGTCTGAAAATAAGTATGGCTTGACTCGACTCATATCTGTAACTGGAATCCAGTTTTAAACCTATCTTCCTGAGTATGTATTCCCCTGACGCATAGTTTTTGTTTTTATTCCACAAGAAAACAACGACAGTAACAACATTGAAATAAGGGATCAAACATTGAAAAGGAAATAAATCTCCATGTCATTGATCGTAAAAAGAATTATTAAAATTGATTCATCAGGATTAACAACAATATAACTATATTATTATTTACACGTATAATTTTATTTGCACTTATAACTGCTATAACATTGTTTTGTCGATTTATTTGCAGAATAATCATAGTATTATAATACAACACATTTTTTCTTTATTTTCATTGCTTACAATAACTTATCATGCTTTATAATAACTTACCATAATCTTTTCCCATGCTGTCCACCTACTTCTCAGTGTGTGGCCCTTTATTTATTACACTTTCGGCTTGTTTAAGAGAAGTACCTACATACGGTGTTGAAAATGAGTAAATCTTAGTATCTACTACTTGCTTATATTTACTGTTTTTTAAACATTATGTTATTAAAGTTTCACGTAGTATTATCATTGCTAATTCGAATGAAGCAATAAATCAAGACGTGTTATTCGTCTCGGTGGAAAAACACAATCAGCACTTTTTGAGCAGATTAATCACACGACGGAACACATTAGTTATTAGTGAGTTTATTCTATTTTATATAAATATAACAACCAAGAATATTTTTGTAATGTTTATTTATGTTTGGCGAAACAAAAGTGAAAGTTATCGAACGAGATCTCGAATGGAGTAGCGACCGACAACGACCGAACTCACTAGGCGTTGCACGACAACTGAATTAACTGAGTCACTTTACTAACTATTCACTTGACATGAACAATGCTAAATGTATTTTATTCTATTCTATTGTGCTGCATGCAATGGTCGTACTGAGCAACTACGCCAACAGCGGGGAGCGGTTAGTGGCACAACCGACTTCCATCTTGATATAAACACTAAATTGGTTGCCTTGTTTAGAACAATAAGCTCAATTAATCTCTTGGCGGGATGACACAAGATTAAGGAATTATGTCTTGTTACATTAATACAATTATTATCCTGTAAAAAATTAACAAAATATAATATATCGGGCGTTTTTGTATGATATAATAGACATACAATCGGAGACAAAATCGACACTAAAAATAGAGCGCATTCCATCAAATTTTGCACATACTTATTATTAACCATCTAGTATGACATTTGTAAACAAATGTGCGAAAATAGTTATACTAAAGTTTAGTAATAATGTAATGGCACAAAATATCATATTTTACTTACGGCAAGTATTTGACTACACTGTCTTATGATGTCTTATGATGACTATTTTTTACATAAATTTGAAGTTTTAAGAAGTTTTTAGCGTAAGTAGGCATTTGTTTGGAATGTAAATCTTGACTTTTTTTCTTGAATCTTGAATATAAATGTTAACGACTCTATTCATATTATTAGAGAGATTATAAACCATACTGAATTACGTTGGTTAGGTCAACAAGGAAACAAGTAGTAATTCTGGGTTGTCTCATTCGATCTATTTCTTCGTGGTAGGTACATATCTACGGACAAAGACAAGTCAGAGGATCAAAAGTTCAGAACCTGGTTTTGGTTTCAATTAGGGTAGGTAATTAAATAATCATAATCTGACGTTATAATAAACAGCAGTCGCCTGCACTCAATATACCTAATCAGTCTACGCTTTAATATTAGTCATTCGTAGTCATAACATCCGTTTGGTTTTTCAGTTTCATATTTCACCGATGTTGCTAAATGGGATAAGGATCGAGCTGATCATTGTTTTTTAGATTAATAATTTCGGTTGTTAACGGTGATTTATATCACTCGAGAGTTAATCGGAAATAGAGCCCTAAGTGTTTGAATAGTACACCTACATCATTATTGAATCCTGCCTTTCAAGTAATTATTATAATATATATAACATAAAGAATATCAATATTTCAAAATAAGGAACTGTCGTTAATGTAAAGAGTACAAAGGAATCACGAAGCAGTAGAAAGTGTAGGAAGAAATATCATAATATCATTGGGTTACTACAAAAAATGCAACGGTGTTTATTGGTTTTATAAATCCTGTAGATTTATAAAACCCATATTGTTCTTGGATATTTGATGCTGACTGTACATATATGATAGAGATTCTATATTTATTGCTTCAATTTTTGTTAAGGTTGAAATAAATATAAGTGGGCTGTATATTCGTAATACATGAAACATAAAAACATAAAATTGTAATTTGAAAGCTGCTAAATGGAGAGAAGTAGTCTTATGGTCTAAGTTTAAAAAATGTCCGAATACAAAAGAAGAAAAACAAAAACAGAAGCATTAGTTTATTTGGGCCCGCAGGTAAGTACTATCCTTATTCTACCGTTTAGTTGTTTAACTGCATTTACAATATTTTTTTATTTATTTGTATTTTGTCCCAACTTTTGTTAGACAATATTATTATATTTTGTACAAATACATATTGTTATTTACTAATACTATTAATAGATAGCTAATTGATTGTTGTTGACGTTGTTATAATTAAATTATCAAATGTTAGTATATTATTTTAATAAATACAATATAATATTTTATAGTACAATGTTAATAAAATATTATCACGTAAATGCTAATTAGATTATTGGAATGTCAATTGTTTTAATTTTGAATTTAAGTACTGTATTTGAATCGATCATTTATCAGTTAAATATTTTTTGTATTTATAATTTTTGGAGACGGCAGTAATAAATAGACTGGCCGTTATTCATTCCTGCTTTAATTTTTGCCGAGGGAACACGTATTAAACACACGTATTCAAGATTAAAAATATCTTTTATTTCTGATAATAGGCGGTAAAAATGTGAATAAAAATTGAAGATTTAATTTGTGTAGATAAGAAGGTGACTAGCAAAAGTAAAGTACCTACATATTTATTTTCATTTCATTTCAGCCGTTAACTCTCCACTGCTGAAGATAAGTCTTCCCTATAAACAAAGTTTTGCTGGTAGTTGGCGTGCTGTTTTTGCCACGCTTGGCAGGCGAATTGACAACCGCGATTTGGCTTTTAATGGCCCACAGGAAAGAAAAAAGTAGCCTATTCTATACCGGACCACATCTTAGATAAGTACGTAGCACGTTATCCTAAGTCTATGAGCCATATGGACGAAAATTCATATGTATACACTTTATTTTTTTTTTTTGGTGGATGAAAATGGTATGGTAACCCCGCCTGTGCTAACGGGATATGCTGGCGAAGTACCAGTGAAGGGTGATCGATGAGAATCAAAACAGGCCAGTTAGCCCATCATGATGAATTCATCAGGAATTAACCATGATAGCTTCCAGGGGGAACCACGAGGAGGTCGACCTGGTCGGGTATATTGCTAGCAAAGGGGTTTTTAGTCTCCATTACTAACAATCCCTTTCCCCCCATATACACTTTATTAACACGATATTTTTTACATATTCTAATTATATGTAGCTAGTCGTTGATTGATAGGCCGAAAGAAATTAAGCTTTTGCTTATGCAGAGGCACACGCAATGATTATAGAAATACACTAGTAAACTAATGTGTTTTTATAACCATCGTAAAAAGACTTGTTCAACCTATTCTACGACTATTTATTTTTTAATACTTTACATAATTTAGTGTAATTGTACGTCATAATTGCATGTGATTAAATATTTCAGGTATTGTTATAAGCTTAAATTTTACTTGAAGAATCAATTTTCATGGAGGGTCAACAGCCAGACGGCGTTGCATACTCTTTGTTCCAATCCTGTCGACTAGCGAACTAGCGACGCGACGACGTTGCACGACGTGGCAGGACATTACCCTTCTCATCTGTTATTTACCCGTGAACTTACAGTTTTCATAAATAAATATAAAATATACGATGTATATAGGTAAATATTTTAATTTTATATATTCATCCTGAAGTGGCATATAACTTGGCTTCTTTGTATATTCTGCCATCTGTATAATGGATTGTTCTATTGGATTATTTGACATGATTCTTAATGCCGCACCACTTGCCATAAGCAAATATTTCATCCTCATACTCATTTTATTACCGACCTTAACAATTTTAATATATTAATAAATTTGTTACTAGAATTGGTTTTATTCGTATTTTGTAAGATATTGAGAAATCGTTGTTTGGGTCACTAGAAGCGGCACATTTAAGCATATATTGTCGTGAGTGCTGTTAGTTATAAATAAAAATCATGTATATTGTGAGATTACTCTTGAAATTAGTAAAAATAACAACGATAAAATTAGAGACGCCTCCCCACATGGAGACAGGCCCCGGCGAGATTCGAACTCGCGATCTCCTGTTTACTAGACAGGCGCTTTAACCAACTAAGCCACGGCGCCCTCATTACATGTGTTTCAAATTTAGAAATGTATTATCATTATCATTCTCATGTTTATACATTACGTTATATTACATCTATGATTTATATATAAATAGGTAAATGCCCTTTGATGATTGTCCTTTTCTTATACCTTAAGTACTCAGAATTTTGATTCTCAACAGGTAGGTCTTAAGATGAACATAGACAAGACTAAAATAATATCTAACATCTGTGTCACACCTATACCAGTTACGATTAAGAACATTATGCTCGAAGTTGTCGACGAGTATGTATGTATACCTGGGACAAATTGTCCGAATAGATAAGTTCAAATTCGTCCGAGAGGTGAATCGACGAATCCAACGTGGCTGGGTAGCTTACGGAAAATTACACCACATCTTTTCATCTAAAATACTTCAAAGTTTGAAGACAAAGGTTTCAACCGGTGCGTGATTCCAGTGATGATTTATGGAACCGAAACATGGTCCTCCACGATTGTCCGTATGTAAAAGCTTCAAATTACTTAGCGGGCTATGGAGAAGGCCATGCTCATAGTTTCTTTGCGTGATAGAATCCGAAATGAGGATATCCACAAAAGAACTAAAGTAACTGATATAGCCCGAGGTATAAGTAAGCTGAAGTGGCAATGGGCTGGTCACAAAGCTCGAAGGATCGACGACCGAATGGGAAAAAAGGTTTTTGAGTAGCGAGCATTTACGAGCAAACGCAGTGTAGGACGACTCCCTACTAGATAGAGTGACGACCTTAAATACACTGCAGGGAGTCAGTGGATGCAGATGGCTCAGGACCGTTGCTTATGGCTGTCTATGGGGGAGGCCTATGTCCAGCAGTGGATAGATAATAGCTGAGATGATAATGTACATATTCATATTATTATTATAAAATCAAACATGTTGTCACACTGAATTTTTTTTAAATAATAGTAGGTATCGAGTATGAATAGAAGTTGGTAAAATAATCGACAATTATTATCACCTACCTAAACGATGACCTGGGATTTCTTAAGTGTAAGTTTATTCGTAACATTATGCTGTCATTGGGTAGGTCTATAAGCATACGCTTTGGTAGAGCAATTAGTCACATAATTCACGTGAGTATAATATAATACGTCTATGGCATATTCAATCTATTTATTTATGTTTCTGTTATATTTTTATAGAATCGATTCAAGGATCTTTATATGATGAATCGATATTACTGTTGTTCCACCAATTTGCATTAAAATCAATTTAGGCATTAAAATAAACCTCTTTTCTTTAATATTTACGTACCTTCTCACCTCACGTATCTACATTCTACATTATTGCATCCGTAGCTCGATATATAAGTATATAGTAACGGGGCTAGTAACATTATTACTTACGATATACCGGAATATTCAGATGTATTCGGCATTTTTTTTTTCTTTTATACAACTTAAAATGGCAAACAATCCTTCATGCGTTGCCATTCCTGAGGACTCAGGTGTTATTCCTCCATACCCTGTAAATTCACTGTCATATCCCATTCTTCAAACCGAAACACAGCCATGCAAACACAACTGCTTCACGATAGAAACACGAATGAGTCAGAGGTGCCAAAGCAAACGACTTTTGTACAAAGTCTCCTTCTGGTTTATTTATGTCGCTATTCTGCGTTACGGTTACGTCAATAAATTTGTATAAAAATTTGTTTCTAACAATCCAATGAAGGAGCGGTTGAGTTTTAGAGACAAATCAACAAAATAGCAGAATTCGGGTGATATTTTTGATGTCGTCATGTAATGTCTATACGTTTGCCACCGTACAGCTATAAGCATTTTTCTTAACATTGTTAGTACTATATTATACCACTCTCCTTAATCTGAACAATTCGTAGAACCCGCCATAAACTTAAGTTTCATTCTAACCATTTGGACAAGTGGCGGTCTTTCACCGTGCGTTTTTCAATTCACTTTCTTCCACGCACAACCACTCTGGAATCAACTTCCAGCAGCAGTATTTCCGAACCGATACATCATAACCTTCAAAAAAAGAGCATATTCCTTTTTAAAAGGTCGGCAGCACACCTGCAATGCCTTTAGTGTTGTGGTTGATTATGGGCGGCGGTAGTCACTTACCATCAGGTGATGATGATCAGATGCTGGCCAGCCCTGTTGTAAAAAAAAAATGTTCACCACGCATTCTTTTATTATCATACATACCTAATTATATCAATAAACATAGTTTAGTGCAACTTGCAACCTCGGAGTATGATTTTTCATATTATAATCAGGGTGTGTGTAAGTGCCATTTCTCTAATATTATAGCTGCCAGAGGGAGACTTTGTACAAAAGTCGCTTAGGTACCTTGTTGGCATTCGTGTTTCAACCGTGAAGCAAATGGTGTTTGCATAGCTGTTTTGGTTTGAAGGGTGGGATATAGCAGTGAATTTACAGGGTAGAGGCATAACACCTTAGTCCTCAGGAATGGCAACACATAGGGGATATTATGTGCGAAACAGTATACTTACTGTTATGTTCATGTTACTGCTAGTGTCTATAGGCGACGTTTATCACTTTCTATAAGGTGGTCCATCAGCTTGTTTACTATTTTAAGTTACATAAAAAGTAATATAATAGAACTAAGCATCAATTTTGTATTAAATTTGCCAATTTTGCCCGATTGTAATAGCAAAAAAACCTGTTGGGAAAAATTCAATAATATTCAATAATTAACATCATAATAGTTTTTTTTTGCTGAGCAAAATAGGGTGTGATTTAATATATAGCACAGTTTTATAAAACAATGTATGTACGGTAACGTCATTTTCTTTAAAATTAATCAAAATGGTATTCCAATAAATTTAAAAACGATTAATGCCAAAAATAAAAATTGGGGCGTTAATAACATAGTTGTACATTGATTCATTTCCATGGATCGATCGTCAATACAGTCGTTGAAATTATTATTATTTTTAATTATCTTTTTATATTGCCTTATCGTGATATGTTCATCGATTGCAGTCAAAAGTGATCTAACTTAGCCAGTTTCATAACGAAAATCTAGATTTGTTTCAGCCTGGTAAAGTATGGTCAAATTGGATCAAGATTAGTCCAGTTTGATAACTGTGCAGTTTCATAATGGTGTTAGTCGATCATTACCGGGCTTTCAACGATCATGTAATTTTAGACATAGTATATTTAAATAAACACACATAATATTAACAAAGATTTAAATGAGTAACTGTTGAGTTTCTTGCGAGCTCTCCCCAACATATAACAACCTTCCGAACCCTGCAGTAGATTAAAAAAAAAATGACATTTTAAAAGGGCTTGTAAACAAGTCTACTCAAATAAAGATGATTTGAATTAAAATAGAGTTTCGTATGCTTTAGCCATTTGTTTGCTAGTTGCTGCCACGCTTAGCAGGCGGATTGGTAACCGTAGTTAGGCTTTTGAGATGTTTTAAGAGGGACACTGCTGGTCACCCTCGCCCTCCCTTAGTCGCCTCTTATGACACCCACGGGAAAGGAAGGGGTAGCCTATTCTATGCCGGGACCACGCGGACTAAAACAGTTTATTATATATATAATGGTTTTATTTTCCTGCTCCCATGACTTCGTACGCATCCATTTTAAAAGTCTATGTAAACTGTGTTTTATTGCGTAAGATAAGCAGTGATAATCAGTCTAGATGACGTATTAAGTTAAACATACATTACATTTTAAGTTATATTACAGGAACACGACTGTGAAAACCATAATGCAACAACATAGTAACAAAAATTCTAAAAAAAAATATTGCTTTGGCTTCTTTTCTATTAAAACTCCTGATATAAATTTTTCTCTATGGAGAATAAATTAAAAAGAAAATACCCAATGAATCGCCAGTAATCTAGAGATTATTTGCTGTTTTGACAATCAGGAAGGTAATTTGACAGATGGTATATTTTCAGTATGAAATGATAAAGTAAGACTATTTTGTTCTTAAATATTATATAATATCCTTTATGTTTTACAAGGTAAACATGCAATATAGAAATATATAAGAATTATAGAAAATAATACTACCGAATTCGGTCATAATAATTTTATTCGCATATTATAATAATTGGTTATGATACATGGAGCTCAAACGTGATTTACTTGCCACAGAAGGAGTGGAACTATAACGTTTTAGCTCCAAATTACATTTATTATTCATTTATATTGCATCGACACTCGTTCTGCAAAAACCGTCGCTACATATTTACTAGTGAGAGGTCTCGAGGCAGCATCGGTCAGTCGGACGTCAAGTCCTCGCGGTACGTCGGTCGATCGAACGAGGCCGCCGACCGTTCGCGTTTATATTCTTAAATGTAACAGTCAAATAGATAGCCGGATGTCCGTCCGATCAATATATTTACATACAAACAAAGCGCCTCTCGTGTGTCATTTGACCCAAGAGGCGGAGCTGCCGGAGCCCACTGCCGGCATACGCCGACCGTCGGCTGTCCGGGTAGCCGACGGGCGGCGTATCGATCCGTACACATCTTAAATAGATCCTATAATCACTTCCATAATTTACGACTTAATTAAAATACCGAAAACCTAAAGCCAAGCTCGGCGATATCCTGAGGGGGCCGAGCATACCGCGTCTGCGCGGAAGGCAGAAGGCGGCGAGAGCTGGAGACCGAGTTGTGGTAGGGCCGTTCACTCGGCCTTTACCTCGGCGGCGGCGGGCGTTTCCGTCGCGACCGTCACTTCAGCGGGCTCGTCCGCTGTCGCTGGCACCTCTCCACTCTCCGAAGCACGCTCGTTGCTGCCTCCGCCGTCTAGAACGGCCAATTAATGAGTTAATCATTTGCAAGACCATCAATAACACTAAACGTTGAAGACGTTTCAAGAGGGACACTGCTGCCCATCCCTAGCCCTCCCTTAGCCGCCTCTTACGACACCCACGGGAAAGAAAGGGATGGCTAATTTTATGCCGGGACCACACGGTCTATAAGGGAGTATATTTGTATATATTTATGTATATAGATGACTAATATCACTAATTCTAAAATAATTTTTGTTATAATTTAACCCGCAGTTTCTCCTTTGTAGAGAAAATAAGTTAATAATAGTATAACATATTTGTGTTTCTTTCTAGTTCTTACTAATCTTAATGTGGAGTTATCCATTTGATATTGTTGATTTTATAAATAGTACAGGACGGTTGCCCACTGGATAGAGCTGGGTTAGCAGCGTTCTTTAAGCGGGCCTACATTTAGTAGTGGACAACTAAAGATTGAAATGAATTAATTAATCACAGATGTATTGTATAGTTGTGTTTGTAAATTGTCTTGCTTACTTCCTATATTGTATAATGCAAATGAAGTATACTCATTCGTTCATGTATTCAAGAGATACATACTGCGCTGGTGGTGGTGATAGTAGAGGTTGGGCCGCTGCGCGTGGTGCGGGCGGGGCGCGGGCGCGGGCGCGGGCGCGGGCGCGGGAGCGGGCGCGGGCGCGGGGGCGGGCGCGCGGTAGAGCGGCAGCGCGGGCGGGCGCTGTATGGGGGCCGGGTACCGCGGGGCCACCATACCGCCGCGCGACATACCGCCGCCGCCGCCGCCTCCGCTGCCACCCGCGCACCGCCCGTTGTTGCCGCCCATCATTTGCTGCATTCATTAAGCCTAATTTACATTGTGAAAGCCCCTCTAAACACGCGTTGACAGAACTGCAATTACGCGAGATACGTGACTTAAATTCGCTAATTATTTTAGTTGTAAAAATCCAGACATATTAAAAACATTCTTTTTTTGAGATCACATAAAAAACTTATAATACAGTGTCTGTGCGTGCATGATTTATAATATTATATGAATCTTTTTTATAACATAGGGGCTCATCTGATATTAATATCTAATAACAGTTATAATATACTTAGGTTAAAATACATATGACTGGTTCAAGGTCCACAATACTTGGTTATTTTAAATTTCAGATTTGATACTCTGATTATATCTATGCAGCTATCTATTGTTATAAGCATGTATCTACTGCTTAGTATAGAAGCATTCCACTGCACAAGCGTTAGTGTATGCTGTTAATTAATAAGCAATACCTGTTGTTGGTGCTGCTGGTGGTGCTGATGCGGCGTGTGCGCAGGTGGCGGGTGCGGCGGGTGCGGTGGGTGCGGCGGGTGTGGCGGGTGCGGCGGCGGCGCGTGGTACTTGTGCTGCGGCGGCGAGTGCGGCGGCTTTTGCGGCTTGGTCGCGCCCTTGGGCGTAGGTGATGCCGACTCGCATAGAGGAGCGAACCCATTAGCGTGCTCGTGCAGCGGACTCTTGAGTTGCTGCGGTGGCGGCCGCGGCTGCGGCGGGGCGTACTGTTGCTGCAATGGCGCTCGGTATTGTTGCTGTCAATACGAATTATAAACATTTTATACCAATTTTACCCAATTACCAAAGAATGGAACTTATAGACTTCTTAAAAATAATGTTATTATGACATGAGTTTAATGAATATCTGACCCGCACGTTGTTGCCGTGTTCGGATAAAAGAAAAAAAAAAGCTACACTTTCATCAGTTACACATAAAGTCTGTTTCAATCATCACAAAATTAGACAACACTGGAGTCGCAAAAATCAAAATGTGAACAAAATTGTATAAGTGAAACATATATTTAAATTGTCTTCAACAAAATAAAAAAAAAACTGACTTCAATTATGGCAAAAAACCAGTACTATCTAACCAACTACTAAACCGATTTCGATATCATATTTCTATGAGGTCAATCTATAAGCATATCCTCCTAAATAAAAAATATTCTAAATCAGTTTACAACTGATGGAGTTATGACGTAGCAAACAAAAAATAAATAACGAATGGAGATCCTTCTTTTTAAATTTAAAGAATTTAAAAAATCTATTAATTTTTTTTTATATTCATTTATCTCATTTTTAAATTGCTTTTATATAAAAACTGTATGATGATATGCACGACTTCATATAAGTAGACTAACCTGCATTTGCTGGACGGCAGCAGCAACTTGTAACTGTGATGATATGAATTGCGAGCCGAAAGCGCCAGACTGGGCTGGCTGTGTGAATTGCAACGGATAAGTAGGCGCGGGGGCTGCCGGCGGCTGGTACGGTGAGTAGTAGGAGCTAGCGGGAGGCGCAGGCCGTGGGAGCAGCCCCTGTAGGGAATACGGCGCCTCGCCCACCGGTCCTGAGTAGCCCAGGTACTGCTGCTGGTATGTGCTCACGCTGCCCACTCCACCAACTCCACCCACACCGCCTACTCCACCAACGCCACCGCCCTTACTGCCTGCATTCACAGGAACAATTTATATTGTTACAAGGAAACAAGCCTAAGAGTCTAGTGTAGCGGTCATTGTTAAGGTTTCTAAGTGACCATTAGATAAATATTTTTTCAAAATAATACCTATTAGATTCATTAACGATAGTAATATGTATTTGATTTGGCGACGCATGAAAAAGGAATAGCGATATATACATATTACGTGAGAAGGATAGTGAGCTGTGTGCACACTTATGAAGTTTAATAACAATATCGATTACACATTCAAAAACTTTTTTTTTTTTTTGAAAAAAGTGTGATTAAAATTCTTTCATTAAGAAGATAAACGTGGCACAGAGTATGTTTATAAATTATAATCACACACAATTGAAGATTTTTGACCTTCCCAGCCTCCTATGTAACATCTACGTGACCAGTTTAATTAAAAGACATTTTACTTTAAAGACAACACTAACGAATACTGATAACGAAAATAAAAAAAGATATAATACAATCGAGGAATTCCCCGTAAGAAATAAACGAAAAAGGTTGCCAACTTAAGTTTTTATTTCTCTAATTTTGGCCATATAACGTATGGCAACTTTTGACAAGACCCAATTAAGTTACGTAATACTTGAAGGCTTTTAATTATCATCACTTAAATTAGTTTATAAGTTATTTAATTAAAAACGCCATAATGCTGGAAGTGAAAAGCAGTAAAGCAACAGGAAGTAAAATTAAATTTAACTCAAGTACTAGTATCACTAATAGGTATGTATTTACTTGTGAATAATGGCAACGAAAAATACAAATATATTCACATATTAATATTCATTTCAAAGTCAGTTTTTTTAAGTCTATGAGTTATCAAAATTTTTTTCCAATACTTTCATATTCTTTTAATTGCGAAAAGTATTATAACACTCGACAATTTACATACCAGTTTATTTATTTATTTATTTATAGCAAGGCAACAGATTACAAATTAATACATTTATAAAATAAATATTACATGAAACGACATTAAATTTGCACTCCAATAACTGCTCTGCATAACATTCGATATTATATACATTAAAAGAATGACGGCTATAAATTTAAAGTAACAAATTGGCAGCCTTAATGTAACATTGCAAGGATTGTTGGAAGATATCAAGGTCCTTGCATACATTGTTATATTTTCTGCACAATAATTGGATTGTGATACGATACATTATTGTTACAAATCGGTATATAAAATAATTTTTGTATTCTTTTATTACCTGTACAAGGCTCAACAATGTGCTACTGTCCCATTTATAATTTATTATTTTATAAAGAGTTGAAATCAGACATCTTCTATTTATAAGAGAATTAATGTTAAAATGATTAAGTCTTAATTCATACGAATGAAGTTTCCTTCTCAGACCATACTTAGTGTCATTACCTAATAGTGTTTGTAATTAAAAAAAAATTATAAGCTAAAATTTTGGTAAATATTGACTGAACTTACCAATGGCGCCAATTTGTTGAGTCGAAGGCTTTACTGTAGCCGACATGAGAGAATTAGAAGTACTGGAGATTAAAACAGTGCTAGGACTATTGCCAAGCTGTCCTGACTGCCCGAATGCCGCACCGCCGCCTGCAGCAGCCGCCTAATATAAATAAATGTAGAATTAAGACAAGTCTTTTTGAACATATAACAATAATATTTGTATTACCAAAGATTACTTACCATTCGGTACTGATTTGGAAGGCTCTGGAACATATCAGGAGGTGGCTGATAATTGTAAGGTGTAGCTGAACCAGCACCATATGGTGTTCCAGGAAATCCTCCAAACTGACCTCGGCTTTGATCAAGGAATGCTCCATAAAGCCCACCCTGCTGTTGTAATTGTTGTGAAGAGCCTAATAACTGTTGAGAAGAATTAAATAATACGGCGGGCGGCGATGGTACTGATAAGCCGCCGTATCCTCCTTGATAGCCTACATGATTGTAATGTTGAGGAGGCGGTGACTGCAACTGCTGTGTTGGTTTCACTTTACAAACATTTGGTGGAGCGCCAGTCTCTGTATTAGATTCTTCGAAACCGGGAAATTGTAGTTCTTCACTACCTTCAGCTACTGCTGGCATTTCCCACACTTTTTTCACGCTAGCGATTTTTAAATTGAGATCTGCCGCCAAAGGTGAAATAGTGTTCGAGGTACTCATATGTACACCACGAGGTAATCCTAATTTTGCTGATTTATCTTCTGTGAGCTGTCCAAGGGAATCAGAATCAAAAGCGAAATCAAGCTTCATATCTGAAGAGTCTTCTGTTTTTTGGGATGTATCAAAAGGCATTTGTAAACCAAGTGTGGATTCACCATCTGTTGCAGGTCTTCCATTATCAGCTATGAGTTCTTGAATAGATCGCGGGCGTGACCTAACATCACCATTAAAGGAAACAGGCCGTGTATCAATTTCACCTGTCATCTCCTCACCCTGAGGTTTGGCAGTGGTAGCACTAGGTTGATATTTTTGTTTTAAGGCCTCAGCGGGTGGAGCAGTCTTATAATTAGTATTCTCAAATATAATTGTTTCTACAGGGGGTGTAGTTCCATCCAAAACACCAGCTTTATCAGCAGCTACTACAGCACATGAAACTGGCGTAGTTTTGGCCTCAACTGCAGCATCTCCAGGTGAACTGCGTTGACTGGATTGTCCTGATTTATTTTCGGTTACTTCAACGGGTTCCTCGGCGTTACCTCGTAGTGTTTGCGATATGGGTTTATCCCAAGCATTAACTGGCGGCGGAGGAGGCGCTGCTCCAGTGTCTGGTCCGAATCCACTAACCAGACCCATCTGTTGCTTTTGTCTTTGTTTGACAAATCTTGGAGCCAAGTTTGCTTGACGTGGGCGATCATACTGTGTTACGGTTTTACCAGAAACAGGGACAGAGCCCCGTGAATTAGATTTGTCATTGGAATTTCTGGTCGATGACCCATTTCGACCACCACCTTGATTAGAATGGGATCTTGGTTGTTTGACAATAAGTTGATTGTCCTCTTTGGATGAAGTGCCTCTTATTTCTTTAGAAGTTTTCTTAGTTCTAACTTCTTGGAATCCGTCATCAATAACTTCATCTTCTTTTTTCGTTGATGATAATTTAACATCGCTCATAACCTCCGTCGTATCAGTAGTTTTATCACCAGTTGTGTCTTTCTTTACTCCTTGTGAGTTTCGGGTATTATTTTGACGACTGTTGACATTTCGTCCACCCTGACCACTTTTTTGAGCTTGACCAGATTGTCTGGCACCCAGAGATCGACGTCGACCACTTGCACCACCTCCTTCGGAATGTTCAGAAGTTGTTTCCCAATTTTCATCTTCTCCACTGTGAGGACCACCTTTGGGACGACGGTCACGACCTCTACCTGTAGATGACCCTGTTCTAGGTTTATTATGTGATTTCGCTTTGTCCTCTGTTGGAACATTATCTTTTATATCATCATTTTCTTTAACTGCTCTATTGGCTTGACTGAAAGGGCTTTTAGTGTTTGGTGGTCCATAACCTGTTACTCTTTTAGCAGGCGCTGGTGGGCGTGAAGTACCCTGAAAACCGCCTCTCCCTCGTCGAGAAGGCTGTCCTCGTGGTGCAAAAGGTTCTCTATTCTCTATGTTATCTGATGTATGTGGGATCTGTTCTACTGGTGGTCGATTAGGATCATCATGTCTATCTGTTTTCTTAGGTCCCCGAGGACTTCGTGGCGCTCTGCGTCGTTCTTTACGTTCAGAATTTGGTGCACCATCTGTTGAACCTTCTGATTCACTAGCTCTATTATTAGACCGAGAACTACGATGTGAACGTCTTCCGCGAGATTCACGTGGTCCCCAACCTCTGTTGTAAACAGCATATCCACCTCCTCCATACCCTCTGCCTTTCTTCTCAGATCCCGACCCACTGGATTTTCGTTCAATGGGCTCTTTTCCTGGTATTTTATTAAGCTGTTCATTACTAAATCTTTCATTTCGTTTGTCATCAACAGATCGCTTTTGAGAATCGACATTACCATGTAGAGATTCCACCGATTGTATTTCATTGTTCTTAACATTTACCAATCCCGAAGGATCAGTACTAGATTTAGATGCAATAGATTCAGATTCAGACAACTCCTTTTCAGATTTTTGAGATATAAATGTAGGTTTACTCGCAGGTAAATGCATTTCAGAGGAAGGAAGATTTTGAATTTGTGAAGGTAGAAGATTATCATTTTGACTATTAGGTTTAGAAAGAGGTGGATTTATAGGTTTATTCAAAGATTGACTATTGTCAGAGAAAGAAGTAGTTTGATTATTAGATGCATTACTTTGCAATGGAATATTTGCATAGGGACCTATTTGTTGATTTTGAATGAAGTTTTTACCGCTAGGAGAATGATTGTATTTATGAATCTGATTTTGAGGAGCAGGGGAAATAGCAGTGTGATTTGCCGCAGGTGAGTTTTGTTGAATCGGCTGAACTACTGCTGTTTGTTGTAACGAAGAAATGGATTTCTCATTTTCATGATCATGAGAATCTTTTACAATATGTTCAACATCTTTTGGCGGTGAAATCTTTTCAACAGGTTTAAGAACCATATAACTGGGTGAATCATCTTGTGTGATTTCTGCCCATGAGGTTTTACCAAAGTCTCTTTCAGATGATTCTCGATGAGTAACATTGGAAGGAGGTGAATTGCGTCTTTCTGGTGCTTGTGTTTGTGATGATGAATCAGATGATGGAAAAGAGTCAGTAAGACCTATACTTTTTCTTTCGAATACTTCTGTTAATTTATCAGCAGCTGTTCTACTGCTATGTTCAATAGTACTAGAACTATCCATGGATTTTCTATCTGACTCATTTCTTCTATCTTTATATTCACCATAGTCTTTATATGAATCTTTAGAATTAGATCTGTCCAATTCTCTTGCAGGTTTTTCATAATCTTGCATTTCAGACCGCCATTGTGGTCCAGGTCCATCTTTGTCTCTTCGGAAATCATCTTCACGATCAGAATAATCCCTAAAAAATTAAATATACATTATCACATATTAGCGCCCATAAAATAAATCAAATATGAAGAAATTGTTATTTGATATTAAAAATAGTTGCTATAATCAAAGTGATGGGTGATAAAAATAATTATTTTTAGTCCAAAAAGTAGAAAGATAAAAAACAATTATTATATTGGTAATTTTAACATAAATTTTTCTCTCAAACACTGGTCTATTTTCTATTGTTCAATAACAATATATTTTAATAGAATAAATTAATATAATAATACCTAATAGTACATGAATTTTTAATTACCTTGAATATGAACGTCGACCATTGTGAGGCGTATGACGAGGAGCATTATATGGAGGAGGCTCTTGTCGTCTAGGAGCTGGTTTTCCAGAAAATGCCCAGGCCTTATGTTGTTCTTCTTGTTGTCGGTTCTGTTGTTGCTTTAAAAATCGAGGAGGAATATTAGCTTGAAAAGTCTTTGAAAATGCTGGATTGCCTTGATCACGGTCTCTACCATAATCGCGATCTCTGTCTCTGAAATCACGTTCCCGATCCCTGTCGCGATCATTCCTGTCTCTGTCTACTCGATCACGGTCACGATCTCTTTCTCTATCAAATCTATCACGTTCAATACGCTCTCCACGATCTCGGTTATCATTGCGATCCCTATCACGTGGGTCCATTCTGTCTTTATCACTATCTTGACGATCTCTATTTTCGATACGGCTCCTTTCTCTACTGTCCAATCTATCTCTTTCGCGATCTCTGTCTCTAATATCACGTTCCCGATCTCTGTTATCAAATCTATCTCTGCTTTCAATGCGATTACTTTCAGCTCGCTCTTTATCTCTTATATCACGAAGATCATTTCGATCTTTATCTCTATTATCCAAACGGTCTCTTTCTCTATTATCTGAACGATCCCTGTCTCTGTTATCGAGTCTCTCTTTCTCTCTGTCAGATTCTCTATCCCTATTATCATTGCGATCTCTTTCTGTTCTTTCGCGAGAATCTTTAGACTGCTGCATTGGAGGCACTGCATCTCGAGCAGTCTGACGTCTTTGTTCTTCTTCTTTTCGTTGGCGTGCACGTGCTATTACTTGAGCTACCTCATTATTTTGCTTCTGCCTACGTTCTGCCCATATTTGCTCTTCATCTGCCGGCTCATGAATTTTATTATCGACATGTTCTACATCAATACTGGTCCGGTTATTATTATTCTTATTACTCATTTTACTTGGAGCCGACGACTCTCCATCAGAGAAGTCCAATTTTTGACTGAAAATAACAATATTATATAGATATGTAATTTATATATGGGATTGTATTAATCTTTCTAGTAGTTTACAAAACTTACTCATAGTCAATATCGTCGTGTTGTGCCCATCCAGCGTCGCGTGAGATATCATCTAGGGAAGAGATTTGTTCCTCACGTAGTATAGGGCGAGCAGTAAGAACTTCTACAGCTCGCGGTGTTGCCGGCGGGCGAGGTGGCGGACGCGGGCCTCCGGCGTTGGTATTACTGGCGCTGCTTGAACTTCCACTACCACCGCTTCTATTGTCGCGCAGCGTATTCAATGTACCCAACCCGAGCCCGCTACCAGTGTTACCTTTCATCAGCTGTAAAATATATTCATCAATACAATTATAAATCTTAATAAATTGTGAAATATTTCTTATCCTTAATTGTGAAAATATATTTAATAGATTTTAAATGTTTTTATTAAAATAGTATCATAAAAAAGTTATTAGTATGACAATTAAAGCGATACGTACGAAAGATGGAAGAATAGCACGGTAAGCGGGTGTTTGCTGTGAGGCGGGCGTGGAGGCGGGCGCGGCGGCGGGTGATGTAGTCTCTTGTCGTACGCCGGCGGTGCCACCGCACGTCCAGCTGCCTTCCGCTATAAGAACAGCAGGAACATTATGCAATATAATCATCAACATACAAAAACCAAAAATAAAAAAGTGATACAGAAAATTGAGTGCATACAAATAAATTACATATTCAATCTTAATCCACTAGGCAACCAGTAATATTTGTTGTTAAACAAGAGAAATTAAAAAAATGTCCAAATAATAATAATAATTATCTTAGTTACTTTGTGGTCTGAGTTGTGGTTGCGTCGTTGAATGATCTGTCGAACGATGTGAAGGTTGAGCAGCAGCTTCCAATGAGGGGAACTCTGTGCGGAAGTGTGGGGATGATGGTGGTGGAAGTGACACCCAACCGGTTGGACATGTGGTTACAGCCGCACCAGGAGTGGTTGTTGAAGGCTGAAAAGGAAAGAGATAATAAATAAAATATATTTTTATTTTATCACTACAAGTTTATAAATTAATAGGTTAATAAAATCAAAATAACAGCAATATTCATAAGAACAACATATTTTACCAAATAATATATATCCATTTTTTTTTATTATAATATTAGTTAACTAAAACTCACAATAGTCTGAGAAGTGCATGTTGCTGGAGTAGATATAGTTGTAGTAACAGCAGTAATAGAACTGAAATAAAAAAAGATAAATATTCCATTAAATTATTAATATATTATTTATATATACTCGAAGTCGTATTTATATTTATATCATTTATCTATTACTGTCTTAAGTGAAACTTATCAAGATAATTCCAACTTACTTTTATGTAAAATGTATTCACATTAGACAATAAAATTAGTACTTTATTCAAAGAACAAAAAATATCAGTTATTTATTTATATTGTATTATATATGAGGTACATTTTATATCAAAATCTATGAAAACAGTACTAGTGTGTTCTAAGTTATGAAAATGAATTCCATACTTCAAGTGTTGAAAATCTGCAAAGTTAACAAACAGTAGTATATGGGATTATGTTACATAAGAAAACCAAGTTATTTACCTAATAATTAGGTTTGAAAATTTCATACTACTACTATATTTTCTTTTTTTATTATATATGTTCTTATTTGCTCCATGCTCTTTGGACAAAAAGATGCCTAAGATGACTTACAGTTCAAAAGATATATATACATATAGTCCCTAATTTTTGCTCTCACCAAAAGAAATATTACGGTACCAAAAAGTAACAAATTAACTCTGTTTCACATTTATATGAAGACATGTAAAGATTGATGTCTGAGACTGATTACATTTATTTTTTATATTTTTCACCTTTATTATACTTTAACTTAATGTCATGGATAGTAGTAAAGTTATACCAATAACAATTTGCAAAAATACTAACAATCATGAGGTATATTATCATGAAATGTATATCATAATCTATTTATTGTTCAGATATAATCATTGTTAGTAATTATTAAATATTATAATAGTGAATGTGGTGTTTGTCTGTAAGACTTATACATTAGGCAAAATTATTTTTGTGTTATTAAGTAGCATGTATAATGTAAAAGTTGTAGCTGAACTTTATTAAATAAATAAATAAAATAGATATTGAAAATAACAAAGAATTTTTTATTAGCATATTTTCCAAATGTATTAGCGATTACATCTGCCCATTTATTTTACTGCTTTATGTAGTGGGATCAATCTAGTCCGTAGTCACATCAAAGAACAGAATTAAACTATTCTTAATAGAATAACAGTCAATATTACTTAAAGTTATATACTCACTTAGAGTTAGGGTCTTGACCAGTTTCAGTTTTCAAAGAAGGCAAATTGGCTGGTGGGCGCCTTGCCGAAGGTACTTTTCCGAGACTTTGCATTCCATGTTTGCGGCTTAGTTGAGATTTTACTAAGGACGGTTCTGAATTCTCGTTCTGAAAAGAAAAATATTAATTTCATTAAATATTATAACTATTATTTTAATAAACACTTTTTATTGATTTATTATATTATTTTACTAGTTGTATCTCACAGTTTCTCCAGTGGATATCAGTATATAAAATATCCTATATGCTTAATTAGGATATAACCTGAATACATTTTATTTATTAATTTATGTGAAAAAGTAACAAATATACATCAAGCCAAACATTCTCATAAAGTGAATTTCATATACACAATATTGAGAAATTTCTTATGTTACTTTTAATATCATAGGTTTTCTTGAAATCTATGGGTAAGAAACTATTTTTGGTACCTTTTCCAAAATTTTAAGCAGTAGTGTGAGAGATAGCAATGAAGGGGGGCGGAGGATCGTCCATTTTCATCTATTTTTTTTTAAAAACTTCAAAACTATTTATTTTAATATTAAAAAGAAATATAAACCTTTCATTTAATACATCTTACTTAAACTTCTTATTTATCCCCCAAAAGTGACCCTCATGTTTCAAATTTATTTATGTTGCACACCCATCAGTCAGACTTTCATATTATGTGTACCAAATTTTAACTGAATCCGTCCAGTAATTTAAGATAAAATTGGCTGACTGATGAATGCACAGTCACACTAGTGATCCTATAAAAGTTCCTTTTTTACTTTTGAGGTATGAAATTTATTGTATTCTGTTTTAATTTAAGATGCTTGTTGATTGATATATTTCTCTGTAATTATATGGCTAACACATTATAAATTAGTATTTATAAAGGTATAAACAATAACAAAAGTATAATACATATAAAGTATAGCAAAATTGTTTGCCTGTATTATTGGTTAGAAACTCAATAAATTTTCACATTATTAACAGGACACCTCTCTCTTGAAATGTACATCAATCAATAACTTATATGAAATTATTTTCTTTATTATAATGATGAAAAAATACTTTTGATAAAGTTAAAATATTTGTTTTATTTATATAAATATTAAATATTTAGGCGTATTAAATATCATTATTTTATTGTCTAACTAAAATATTGTTACAAGATAAAGACCACCTTAGACAAAACACTTAATTAATTATTTATGTATGGTAACTTCATTAAGAATTTATTGATATAAAATTTAAAACTTATTTCTTATAATAAAACAAATACAGCTGTTAATAATAACTAAGTATAAATTATCATTACTGAAAAAGGCTTTCAATAAAGTGACATCAGAAAAATGGTCATTGACTTTACTTAACAAAGAGAAAAAGTTAATATACATAATTGTGTATAATTTTCACACTTAAATATTTGTATATATACAGGTATAGTTATAAAATGTGATTAAATAATGTTTAATTTTGGCTTTACAAGTTGTCATACAGATAAAATATTGATACCTATTCCTATTTATTATAAAAAGGATGCAAGGTTATCAATAACTGGTACTATATAAGTTGTTTTAGGTACATTTATATAGGAAGGTCAATCCATTCAACTGTAACTGTTTCTATTGTTCTACTAAGCAAATAGAGATTACAAATTTGGATTTCTAATGATGCAGATCCAATTAATTATTTAAAATAAAATATAATAAGTTTAATGAGATGTTCTAAAACCAGTATGAAAGAATGAACCAGATTTTATAGTCAAAGTCAATTGTTAGACAATACTTACTCTGTTAGTGCAGTATAAGCTATTGATATCCAATTTCTGATATTTTTGCTTGCCGGACGTCGGCTTCGTCTGCGCCGTAGTGCCTCCGCCGCCCGGCGTCGAGAGTGCAGACATGCTGCGATGTACACACCATCAGGAGGTCACCCTCGCTCCGACCACCAACTGCAACCATTGTAACGAACACTTCACAAAGTGATCTATATGACACATTCACGTAACACAGACCAATTATCTACGAATACACCGAGTTTTCGTACATTAATTCAATATATAAACACAAATTTTCTTAGTTTCAATAACAATGACACTTAAGGTAACCACTGGACATAGAAACACAAATCACTTTCACAGCACTGAAAAATTAAACTGGAGCCCTGCCCTAGGAACTTTATTGACGTGTTACATCCGTACAATGAACGCTGGATCGATGACTTTTGTTTTTTCTAGTCTTAATTTTTAGATCATATACGAAAAGTGCAATAAAAGTGACCAATTTGAAGATATAGATAACGGTACTGACAAGATAGAGCTAGAAGAACGGTAAATAACAAACAAATTTTTGTCGATTTAGGAAACAACAAAAGAAAAATACTTATGTACCTTGGTCCGTTAAACCTGGTATTACGAAATATAAATAGTCTAAGCTCGAATGCTAATTTCTTAAAAACGATTACTTTAGATTTTTACTATATTCTACGATACCAAAAACTTATATCACTTTGTTTTAAGATGGCGTCTCTACCAAAAGACGATCTCCTTCCTTTTTTTCACAATCAATAGCGTGACGTCACAAAGCCAAAGACTCAAAGATGCGATATTGCGATCTCTACTCTACCTAGTGACAAAATTGCGAAATTAGTAGGTACAGAGTACAAAGAAGTAATTTTATTTCTAGACCAATAATTGCACATTACTTTAAAAAATAATAAAATTCTATTTATTATTAAAAAGATACAAAAAATTGATTTAACATATATTTTTTTACAGTTTTTACTTTGCATAGTTTTATTCCTTACACTCAAACTGCCATATATAAAAATTCGATAATGAAAGAAATTTTATTGATTTCAGCTGTATCATAATTTTTGATAATTTTGTTACTCTCTGTTAGGTAATTATCGTTATTTATATTGTAATTATAAAATAAGAAAAAAAAGTTTCGGGGTTATAAAGTGATAGAATACGACGTTCCTATATCACTGTCACTGCACATATCTTAGATAAATAACTATATTGCACATACATATCTTAGAAAAATAACTATATCGAGGGTAGTTAAAGTTTTAGTTTACTTTTTTAGTTTGTTTTAATAGATTGGAAACTAAGTTTTATGACCAGATCTTCGACTAAACCATTAATAACATAAGTTATGGCTAATATAATAATGAAAAATAATATAATAAACTGTGAATATTATTCATCACAATTTTTTTGCATGAATGACAGTACAACACAAATAAAACAATATAAATATAGTTATTGATGTCAGTGTTAAATTATTTTTATCAAAGTAATTGGCCATTTTGAGGCTCGATTCTATAACACTATTCTTTACCATCTTATTAAAAATATTAAAACTCCTGCAAATCAGGTAAGCAGTGCCCATCCTAGAATTGCCTAGTGATTTCCGCAGGATCCGAGTGGAGCTTTAGGTACACTCTGCCCCTGTTGGGAAATATATGCTAAATTGAGAGCGATATCCAGCACAGCGGGTGTTCAGATGGAGTCGTAAGAATAGTGAGTTCCAACCTCGGGCACCTTGGACAGTGATATCTACATATTCTCTCTATATATAGTTAGTACCAAAAGTTTGCTTACCTTGGTGTTGTCTATGTTCAAATTTCATGTCATGTGTTTACAGTTTCAATATCCTTCAGCGATAGTAGGCAGTATAGGTACCAAATATTTTTGGATACCAGTCATATCTATGTAACTAAGGAAGTGCAGATACTATATTTCATCTATGTCCGAAAGTCTAGATGAAGTCAGGATATTATTTGGTCTATTCTTTTGTAGGATAAGTTATATTCTTGTTCTAACTTAATTTATCGATTAAATTTATGTAGATATCTTATTTATTTTTCGATTGAATTGAGAAGGCTATATCATACACTATCCTACTCTAGTTATGCTACGCTTGCGCTCTGGATCTTGAATCATATTGATGAACGAAAAATCAGTACCTAAATGAAGTTCTGCGGAGTATCGAAGTAGCTCATAAAACGAGGAGTGTCTCAGAAAACCGGCAGCCATGTCCGGGAATATAGGAATGGAACAATTGATTCCAATTGTGAATAAGCTACAAGATGCCTTTACGCAACTTGGTGTGCATATGCAATTGGATTTACCGCAAATAGCAGTTGTAGGAGGACAATCCGCTGGAAAGAGTTCAGTGTTAGAAAATTTCGTGGGCAGGTATGTATATTTTGTACAGCGTACCTATTATTATACAAATGTTTTGATGAACATTAAGTAATACATTCATTATAAGAAAATAAATTATTTTCAAAAATGGTAAGTAATTTATTTGTAAATTAAATTTTGATTAAGAGACTACATTTTAATTTCTTGTTTAAAAAAGAAAATATGAAGGAGAAAGAAAGGAGAAGAGGAGGATCAATGATTAATTGAATTTTTAAAATTGTTTTGTTTAATAATAATCATCATTTTTGAGCTTTGCCCTTATTCTGTTATTTGGAGTCGGCGCAATAGAATTTTTAAATATTCTTATAGCAATTGTGTTTTCTGTAATAATTATATAATTTAATAAAATTGAAATACCTAGGAATTTAGGTATGTATTTATAAAAAGTGTTTATTGAGATTCTGCAGTCTGCTATTATTCTTTCGAATTTGGCCTAGATTTGGATGCGCATGTCAAACACTATTGATTTTGTACAAGTAGATATACAAAATCGAAAGAAGTTTCAAATTATTCAGTATTAAAATTTTATTTCCTTTATGGCTGGCAGTTATTTTTGTATTTTATTTTTTTATTAATTTTATTTTTTCTAATTATTCCATAACTTAAATCTTTTATTATTTTGGCGTAGACAGTGGATAACATTTCCAACGTTTTCTCTACCTATAATTACACTATATTTTTATTCTATCTCACTCCTCTTGCGGTAAATCTGAATAAAGTAGAAAGAGATAGAATGTATACGTTGATTGTTATTACTGATACTATCACTATAATAGGTAAGTACTAATAATAGGATTTATATAGAAGGAGTGATAAAATTGTCGATTCATAGCAGGCTAGCGTATAAAAAATATTATACGGCCGTATAACCTTACCAATTTCAGATACAACCTGCTTGCATACTTTTTACATAAACTGTGTCGTATATATAATTTAGTAATGTAAAATTTGTCATTGATTAATAATTGACATATCAAACATTTTCTATACGCTAATCGGCTATGAATTGAGAAAAATAGCAACTGATGGTGTAGCTTTCGTCCTCTTTTTACTAATTATATTTGCGTAAGAAGAAAGGAGGCAACCATATGATATACAGTTTTTATTTTTTATTTCTTCTATGTAATTCTTTGTTCTTAGGGTAGGTATCCGTAGATCACTCTAAACAGCAACCACCGAGATATTAAAGTAATGAAGCCGATTTTGAGGTGACATTTCTCTAAATGTATCTTTAAAATTTTAATTTGATGGCACTTCAAAAACTTTATCACAAATCTGAACTATTTTTTTAATAGATTTAAATAAAGATAAATTTAGTTTATGAAAGTCCATAAAAGGGTAACTTCAAGAAACTATCAAATTAATAGGTTAAGAGAAAACTATAGAGAAGTGGCGTCTCAGAATCGATCCCATTATCTACAATCAAACATCAATTACTTTATAGCATCTTCTATGTTTTGTATCTAGTCTGTGCTACCACCATATTGAAAAATATATTAGTCTGCGAACGAAGTCAATTATGATTTGATGATGAACAAGTGTTCTAGTGTTATTGAGTTTAAAAATTAATATACATGTGTAAAAATGGCTGGAAATTTCGGAATGCAGCAACTGATTCCTATTGTTAACAAATTACAAGATGCATTCGTTCAGATGGGCGTTCACATGTCCTTAGATCTTCCACAAATTGCAGTTGTGGGTGGTCAGTCCGCTGGAAAGAGTTCTGTATTAGAAAATTTTGTTGGCAGGTGAGAATTTAAGTCCAAAAAGGAGGATTATAATATTACATTTTAGGATTAGGTGAGAATTTTACAGCAAAAAGGAGAAAATTTGAATGAAAGTGTTATTGTTATTTTCTCTTCCTTTTGCGATTATCTGAGCCTCAATAACAGTTATAAGATTTCTAGATTTTCCAAACAATGGTTTTCAATTTTTGACATTTTTCATTTAACCGAGTTTAGGAAGCACCGGATTAATTTTTCGCTATTATTTGGGGTTTAATTATGAGTCATAACACACATCCTTCATAGTTTCTAAACAATTAGTCATGATGAATATTGAACAATTAAGCATCAAGGATTTCATAAAAAATTAATAACAAAGTTGTGTTTCTTTATTCTTTGGTATTATCTATATATAAATATGGATAAATTTATATACCATTGTTAAATAAAAAAAAAGTTATATTAATTATCTACTATATTATCAACCAATGAAATGCCACTGGCAATGGTTTCCCCCATTTCCTTACAGATTCCTGTAAATCACTTCTATTTAAAATAAGATATCAAATTCATGTTTATATGGAATAAATTTTTTTATAGATGAAAACTAATTTTGCTATTGTAGTTTAAGATATGACAAACAAAGACAAGAATAACAAAATTTTTTATATACATATTTGGCAGTCTATGGAGAGTGCTATATACAGCAGTGGATAGTTAATGGTTGAAATAATGATGTTGGCATAAATTGTGACAGCAGGATATGACTGATACTTTATCTTAACAAAAATGTTTGGCCTATATTATTATAACATGATGTTTGTTATCATGTGCATATTTTGGTGTATGCTGCACTAGGAGAATAGTTATATATTTAAAAATATATTTCAAATTAGTAAATAACTACATCAGCTCATAAATTTGTAAATAATACATTAATGTATTACCTACTAGCTTTTACCTATGTTTTTGGCTAAGTGACCGGGATATGTTCATTGGTGGGTATCCTATATAGTACTTGTATACCAAAGTTCATAGTATTTGGTTAAGCCGTTAAGGCATTAAGATGTAACACTTATATATATAAATATATTATATTGTATATTTATAATATTAGTAAGAATTAGGTATGGAAAGTTACTTATAGAAATAATTTAATTTAAAAAATTAATAAATTTATAAATTTAATATACTATGATAGAAAATAGTTCTTTGAGACTAGAGGGTAATAATTTTTTTTTTTTTATTAGTCTATGTTAATAAACATTAATTATATCAATAAGCAGTTGTAATTTATCTGTGTAAATTAAAGATAAAAATTATTATATTTTAATCTAAGATGTGGTCCATCTATGAGTATATTTTTTTAAAATTAATTTGGTATTTTTAGTCTGATAGAGTAACAAACAAATATGTTATCTCCACATATTTTGGATCTATAATATTTTAAGTAAAATGTTAATTATACATAAAATTATCATTATAGCAAAATTTATTTAAAATATATCCAGTTATTTGCTTCTTTATTATGTACACAGTTCTATTATATATACACAGAAGTATGCTGTGTGATCCCAGCTTAGAAAAAGCCACCTGGGGGTGGTTTTCCTGTGGGTGTTGTTAGAAGCTACTAAGGGAGGGTGAGGGATGAGCAGCAGCGTCCCTCTTAAAATATCTCTAAAGCCTGACTGCGGTTACCAATCTATCTGCCAAGCATGGCAACTACTGGCAAAACCCCCAAGGGGAGGTTTATGTTCAGTAGTGGACAGTTAAAGGCAGATATGATGATACACAGAAGAATCAATTTTTTATATTAATCAATGAGTAATTACAAAATTTATGATGGATTAAAGATATAATTAAATTCCTATTGTTATGTTGAGTATGAAACTGTTTATTTGTTACTTCTTGGCACTTTAAAGGCTCAACCAAATATAGTGAAATTTGGTATACACATATTATATGGGTTGAAGGGCATAAAGGTTGATTTTGAGGTACCATTTCTTTAATTTCATTTCTGAGAAAATTTATCTCTTAACCTATTATTTTATTTGGATAGTTTTGTGAAATTATGTATTATGGATTTTTATAGACTAAATTTATAATAAGAATTAGACTTAAAGCTATTAGAATATTAGTTTATATTGGTTCTTACAATAAATATTTTGTTGTGATATCAAATTGAAATTTTAATTTTAGACATAGGTTTATAGTAATGGTATCACAGAATCTGCTTCATAGGTTACTATTTATTTTGGTTATGCTAAGAAGTTACATCTATTTAATTTATATATTATTAACACATGATGTCTCTCTGCTCTACAAAGGTCTAGCTCAACTCCTTCCAAAACTTTCTGTTCTGCATCACCTCAAATCAGTCCCTTTTAAATGTATCTAGGACATCACGATAGGTAAAAGCGAGTATAAAATAAATTATAATGCTCTGAGATTAAAATTTATATAATGTAAAAAATGAAAAATGTTGTTAATGTAAAAGAAGAACATTATAACAACTATTTTAGAGCATGACAACTTGATAGGTCATTCCCTTACTAAAATTTATGTTTTTTTTAAATTGAATTTAGGTTATTTTCACATATTGAATTGACACATTCTATTCTATAATTTTTTTGAATTAACAGTTTAATCTGGAATTTTAAAATATATAAATTACTCTAAGGATATCAGTGATCTAGACATACAAATGCAGTAGAAGGAATAGGGTCATTACGATGCAGTTTAAAAAAAATTTAAGATGTAATTTATGTGGTTGGTAATACATAATGTATTATCATCACTGTGATATTGTTATTGTATTAAAATTTTAAAATAGTTTAAAAGTATTTGAAAACTATTATAATTCAACAAATATTATTGAAATATAGAAATTAAGTTTCAATAACTACTGTGTAATTAGAAAATAATTTGAAGTGAGAGAAATTATTTTTATACCAATTAAGCATACGGCCCATCTGATGGTAAGCGGTTACCATAGCCTATGAATGATTTGAACTTAGATCTTCAATAAATTAAAAAGAATTTATTATTATATTCAGATTTACTCGAAAATATTATTTTACAAAGCTATATAAATTGCCCCACTTTTAGATAAAGACTTTACCTTACCAGATACTTCTATTTCATGGAAATATTTACCACTGGAGAGTAGATATACCTATTTAAATAAAAAAAAAAGCTTATTCAAATGGTGTTTATTTTTTTTTTATAAATTTCACATAATTATTAAGACTTATTTGTCAATTGTTTGAAATATTTCATGAGTTTATATATACTTAGAATCTTATTGTTTAACATTTTGTTTACCATTCTAGGTGGTATTCTTAGTTTTATTTTTTCAAACCAAATCAAAAAGGAGCACAGGTTCTCAATTCTGTTATGTTTCTTTTTATGTTTCCTCAAAACTCCATCATTTTATTTTATCTGAAATTAATTTATTAATTTCGATTTTATCTGAAAAGATATACTATCTGATTGGTCACATAACAGTTACATTAAAATTCTATACTAAGTCACCAGGCCTACCTAGTTATAAGTTGTATCCTCAATGGGGAAATAACAGATATAATGTCTATAGGCGATGGTTACCACTTTCCATCAGGTAGTCTGTCAGCTTGTTTATCATTCTAAGTTGCAAAAAAAACCTTGGCTAATAGTAGGAACAGTTTTCTTTAGTGCCAATCTCGCATATATCTCTATGTGTAATTCATATGATTTTATTTTGTTTCAGGGACTTTTTACCTCGGGGTTCTGGAATAGTGACACGTCGGCCCTTGATTTTGCAACTCATAAATGGAAATACAGGTAGGTGATGATGTATTAATTATGAATATGCTAACATTACATCTTTGGATAGATCATCGCCGAAATGGTACAACACATACTGAGTAATATTTAGAATATTACTCGGTATATGTTGTATAGTAAATAGTTAAATAATTAACTTATTTACTAGCAGACTACACAGTACTAACACATAAACATATTTCTAATAATAATTCTTCCAAGGCGATCTTAGTTTTGTAGAGATTGGTATAAGGCATGTGGTTTTTCTCAGGCAAATGCCGGGTTTGATCGCCGTCTGGTTAATTTTGTGAAGGAGCGTCCCCAAATTATCTTAATTACTTCTTCATTCATTATCCGCCATGATAATAATTATTGTGCTACATGAACTTCCTGTTCGCCGCTCGCGTGGGGCCGCATACGTTACGCATTTATATTTGAATAGAAATCCGAGACTGAGTTTAATCGTAAGATCCTTTAATAGTAAAAAATATATACAAAAACATGTCAGTAAAATTGTATTTTTTCGTATCGTTATATAGTCATAAAGCGTAACATTATGGGTACTTATGATTGAAATACGCACAGAGAAAGGCACGCAATGAATTTTGCCCATGATCATTACATTATGAAAACCAAAGTAATAAACATCGCTGTACGGTACGGATGCTTGTTGAGTGATGCATGTTTTTGTTTCACGTACAAATTGTTGTCTATTAACCTTCAACTGCTCTTTGAATGTCAAAACGAGTTACCTTACTATTATTGTAACAACACCACGTTAAAATTAAGACAATTCCATAATAATTATGGTTACTTCATTATTATAATATTCAAGCTCTGTAGAATTCTAGAGCAAATGCGTTTATAATATATTATTATAATCAGTTTGTAATTCAGTTCAAATGACGCTAGAAGTTTTTTTAGTGACAAGTTATCGACAGATTTCCTTTGTTATAGATAGTACTAGATAATCAATTTTTATGCGGTCATGAACGTACGGGTCAGTAGCCTTCCGCTCGAAGCAGCCAACAGCTATTTTTGTGTACAAACATAAATGTTATTTAAACTATTTTATATATTTTTGTAAATTTAATAAGTATTATTTTAATATATTAAAATTATTATTTATTTAATTTATTAAAGAGATAAATAAAGTTATAGACAAATAAATATTAATTTCAACTTCGATAAATAGATATATGTTTTTGTTTGGGAAATTATTGTGATTGATTCCAATCCTGGATTGCATTTATATTAAGCAGCTTATTACAATACAACTCCAACAGTTATAGCATTAATATAATTAAAATTATTCCTCGCAGGAATATGCATATTTAAACGACTTGTTTGTATGTTTGCAATGTTTTAGTCATTTCTTAACCTATTAATTTTTTTTATTATTAAAAAAGGTTTATTCTGCGTTGGTCTCTATATTAATTTTGTCACTTGATTCTTTGCTTGCGTATCAATATCTTCAGTTATTGGCAATATTTCTAAATAGATCCACCAATCAAATCATAGCTATTTAGAACATTGACGATGTGATGATCTGACTGGTATATCATTGTCTACAGAATATGCGGAGTTCCTGCATTGCAAGGGGAAGAAGTTTGTTGATTTCAATGAGGTGCGCAGCGAGATCGAAGCTGAGACTGACCGTATCACCGGCTCCAATAAGGGCATATCGCCTGTGCCCATCAACTTGCGTGTCTATTCGCCCAATGGTAAGTATTTTTTTAATGTAGTTTGAATCAATCATATTTTATATTCGCGTATGGGGTCGGCTCAGCAAAGTCTTTACACGTCGACCCATCAGGATCTTTTGTGCTTCCCCTTGCCTTAAACCATCATTTCATAGATCCCATGTGTTACCTTAATGATATCCCGCGGTTTAAGTTATTTGTAGTCCTCTGGCTCTGGATAAGCCGGTCCCAGTAGACCCATACGCATACTTGTCAATGAGTCGCAGTTGCACATTAATTGTTCCATGGATTCCAATTTCTCATCGCACAGTATGCACAGTGTGTCCAAGAATACACCCATCTTGTATAGTATGCCTTACTGGCATATTCCCAGTGAAAACACCCATTATGAGCCTTAAAAGTTAGTTTGAATCAATAATACCAGTGTTTGAGCCGCGTCAGTATTTCGAATTATCATACGAGTGACGATGATTACGAGTATATGGCGTGAAATAATGTCTCTGTCCCTGTTTATTTCTCTGTTAGAAGCAGTAGCTTCTAAACCATGCAACGGATTTTGATAGATACGAATTTTATTGTCATTTAAGTATTTTTTGATGGAAGGTTTGTAATTACAATCAGGATATACCTAAAGACATTCTTGTATAAGTAAGTATGTTTTTTTCAGGTATAATATTTTCATGATTAACATAGATGAGAGACAAAACAGGGTTTTCTATTTTATTATTCTTTTACTGGATTAGGTTTTTCCGCAGCGTACAATATTACTTCAGAATTTTTTCATTAAATAAAGATAAGCATCTTAGATTATGAGTGATTTAATTGTGTCTATGTATTCAAAGTGTAATCTAGTCACTCACCGTATCTTAAGGGATTTAACGCATCAAGGTCAGGGATTTAGTATACTGAACTGAATTGTTTTCTTAAATTGAACTGTGTATCCTTATATATTTTTTTGTTGGTTTATCATGTACTGAAATACGGGTATATTAGAAATATGTTCCTTGAAAGCATCTGATTCTTTTCGGGAAGTTTCAGCATATCACCAGTTAAATCTGGATTCTTAAATAAGGAAACGGTAATATCCGTAAATCTATTGTTAATATGGAAATATCTTGTTTATAAAATATTACTTATTTTTATATAATTTAAGAGTTTGTTTCATATGAAATATATTATTTCTTCATTCTTTACACTCTCAACCTAAGATCCCTATTCAATTTGACGGGTTATCCCTACTAATATTATAAATGTGAAAGTGACTGTTTGTTTGTTACTTAATAGCGCCTTAACGGTTTAACCAATCATTATGAAATTTGGTGTACACTTGCTATATAGGATGGAGAAGGATATACTTTTTAGCCTGTTAGTAAACATATCCCGGTCACGTGGACAAAGTCGCGGGTAAAAGCCAGTACGAAATAAATCCTATTGTAATATTATGTGTAGAGTGACTTTTATAAATATATTGTTTTCATTTCATGCAACATGATTTTTAAACACCTCTGTGAAAATGCAATTATAATCATGTTTTTTTTTCTGTTTAATCGATAAAATAATATTTTTCTATGAAAATAAAATTTCTATTTAAATGTAATGATCTTGGTGTTTTTATCTTTATTAATTAGATTGTGATGAACCACGCCAAACTTGTGTATTTATAGTATTGTAGCTGCGTAGTAAAAAACGATCAGTTTCCGCCTACATCGAACCCATCACAATTAGGGAGTAAGAGCGCACATTTGATTGATCTATTTTTGATCAATCAACACGTTTTCATGACCTTTAAATTGATATATGTTATTTTTAGGTTAATGATGTCGTTATATTTAACTGATTTCTGATATAAAAGAATTTGCTGAAAACCAAGTATGGACCAACCCGGGAGAAAAGGAAAGCAAAAACAATCAAAATTAATTCATAATTACTAGGTGCTATTAAGACTATGAGTATTATTTTTTAGTCACATAGACGGATTAATTAATTAATTAACGATTTAAAGTATAATAAATTACGAAACGGATAAGAACACAAATATAAGTAAAAAAATAATTGCTTAAATTTTCGATTAACACAAGTAATTTACAAAAAATAAAGTTGGATACATATCGTGTGACTGCTTATTTTTATTTTTAATTACAAAATTCATTCACATGGAAAGGTTTGCTAGAAGAAATTTATTATTAGAGATGAGCTTATTTTCAATAAGAGACTTCTTCCAGCCTTTGTACATTACATTTAAATTTTTTTTTTTTACAATTGTTTGTGTACAATAAAGAATAAATAAATAAAATAATTGTCAATAGCAAAAAAAAAATCTAGAAAATGATCGTATAATGATATTGCTTTCAAATGTTTTTTGGTTTTGCTTTTTAAATAATTATTTTTTCTACAATTTAAACTCTACAAAACTTCTGTCCCTAATTCATGTATGTCTTAGATTTTGTCGTTGTAGTAAATGAAACGCTATCTAGCGGTATCGAAACAAAATAAGAAACTGCAATGGATGCAGATTGATAGTGCCCCCACCTCCTTCCCCTGATCGCGCAAAATTATATGTTGACCAATTATTATAATATTTAAAGAAATTATTATAGTATTCAAAGAAATGAGAGTTCATTCGAGTACCTATGTGAAAAAATATAGGTAATTACGTGTCAAACTGATAACCTCCTCGGTCTTTTTTATATATCAATATCACCTCTTTTGTTTTTGCCGTTAACGTGTAATCTTAGCGTTTTAAATTCTTATTTTTAGAATACGACAGTAATAAATCAACTCGGTTCTTTTTATGCAAAAATAAAAAAAAATACATTGTTTATGAAAAAAATATTGTTTATATTACAAAATGTAAATAATATTTTATCATCTGTTTAATCGCCGATTGGAGGACGCTTGTTATAAATTGAATTTGTATCGTAAGACTAATTATACACTAGAATACTACAGACTACTTGTCTGTTACAAATCTTACTAATATTGTAAATGTGAATGTGAGTATGTGTGTCTATTATCTATTTCTTTGCGCCTTAACGACTCCTTTCGAACTAATACTTTTCTGAACGTAATATTTGAGATAGAGAAAGCTATCGACCACTTTTTATTTAATCAATCAATATGTATCATGAAATTTTAGTTCCAATATAAAATAAAATCAATCATGTGAACGATTATGTGGGTAAAATCTAAGAATAAATTAATTTATTTTGACAAGATGACATGTGAATATAATAACAAAATGAATATTAAAAATTAAAAACAAGTAAAAGATGTAAACGTTAACTTCTACCCCACCTTTAATTCATCGATACTGCACATATATAAATGTAGTAAACATTTCTGCATTATCTTACAACGCAATATAAAAATTAAGATCTTTAAATTAAAATAGTCCGATCATCATCATCATATCAGTCGTTACCTTCCTTTTGTGGGGTTTTGTCAATAGTTGCCACGCTTGGCAGATGACAATTGTAGTTAGCACGCGTAAGCAAATGCACTACCCTTTCCTTTCGCGTGGGTACTCTATGTCGAGACTACACCGCAGTGGTTAACTAATTGGTAATCGTGCATACCTTTTTAAATTGTAATTAAGGATATTAATATAAAAATATTAAATACATTATCTTTTATTGAGTTCTTAATTTGTCAGTGCTGTTCCTATTAACTGTGAACAATTTCTGTTAAATCTTTATTTACGTTATAAAACAAAGGCAGTCGACGATATGTATCTTGTTATCTTATCATTCCTAGTTTTGCTGATGTGATTCACACGATTCGTGTTAAATATTTTAGCAGATAGCAGATGCCTATTTTATGATAAAGGCTCTGTGTGTTTATTTTAAATGGATATTAAATAGCATGTTTATTTTTAATTAGTGCTAAACGTGTAACGCAGTTGTTACATAATACAGCTTTACAGAATACTCAAATTCTTTAATGTTTAGTTACAAAAAAAAAATCGGTTAGGTACGAGTTCAAGTTATACGTCGCGGGTTCCGTATATAGATATGAAATGATCTTTATAGCATTTCTTATATTCGTAATTTATTTTTTTGATAAATTTTTGAGTCAGTAATGGTAAAACTATTCCAAATCGATATCATTATTATTTGCTGAGATAAAGCACTGTGACAGACGCGGCGGACAAAAGCGGCACCATAAGGATCCCTTTGGATTGGACTTTTTTTGGTACGGAAGTCTGAAAACATTAAATTGAAACCGTACTATTTTTAAAACTTATGTTTATTTTTTATCCGATGTCAAAACGCTAAACGCCCCCTGGAGAAGATTTCCGGAAGAAGTCGTAATAATTATCGGAAACGGCAAAAACACAGTTAGTTCGTTAATTTCCGTATAATAATATATAACGATATATATGTATATATACAAATTAAAACTATGTGTTGAGTCATGCCCGAGCAAATTGATATTAGAATTTTTTTTTGTTTTTATAATAATATAATTTTGACTACTATTTTGGATCTCTGTTATTAATAAGTAACAATAAAAAACGTAGCCATTTTCTAGGATAAACAAAAGTACGGGACTTGCAAGTATTTTTTATGTTTTATTTTAAATGTAACTAGGATCTTATTTTGCGATTCCGCTGACGTCGATATTTTCAATCTAGAAACGCGGTATCGTGTCAAGCCAATTCAAGCTAATAGCTGGCGATTCAAACAACACAATAAATACAGCAATAATTTTATTATTGTAATCAGTTTTCATTGATGAATGTAATGTACAGAAAATTAATATTTAATAGCAAATATTAAATATTAATTAAATGTAATGAATGTTTATGAGTAATACAAATATCAGTATATTTTACTAATCTTACTAATATAAATGTAAAGATGTTTGGATGTTTTTTTACTCAATTCTCCTATTCATCGTCATTATCATCATGTCAACCGTTAACTGTCCACTGCTGGACATAAGCCTCCCCGTTACGGTTTTGCTAGTAGTTGTCACGCTTATCAGGTGGGTTAGCAACCACAGTTAGGATTTGGTGATGTTTTAAGATTTGAAGAACGCTGCTGTCAATCTCTCGACCATTAAATTTCCTTAGTCGCCTGTTACGACATCCACGATAGCCTATTCTATGCCGCGACCACACGGCAATTTTTGGGACAATTTTACTATTATTAAGTAATAATAAACGTTACGTAGAAGAGTATTTAAATAACTAAAAAAATATGTTTACAACTATAATTCTGGATGGGAGAGTGGTATGAAAAGTAATTTAAGAATAAATTCTGGTTGATAATGAGGAAGCAATGCCCGTGATAGTACAGGTGTTTATAGTGTACGGTAACCGCTTACTCTTCAGACGGACTTTATGCTTGATTGCCTTTGCGGTGGTATATAATTAGTATTTAAAAAAACCGACTTCAATTATGGCAAAACTAGTGATTTTGATTTAAAAACCAAACTAATTAATCTAACTATTTAAATTTTGATAATTTTTTTATTAGATCAATCTGTAAATATATCCTTACAGATAAAAAAAAAAAATGAATTTTCCCTATCGGTTTACAATTGATGGAGTTATAAGGTAACTAGCGTAAAAAATTTAACTGAATTGAGAACCGCCTTCTCTTTGAAGTCGGTTGAAAAAAGTAATTTAAGATCTATGAACTCTATTAAATTAAAGTGAACTCCGACTCCTAGTGAGACGCTCTTGTGATTTTATAGGTCTATGACATTAAAGCGGTCAACGTAAGTCAAACGATAGGTATTCTGTAGGTAATTGAAATCGGTTCATAGATAATGTACTCTTAGAAGCTCTAGTGCATTACATTTTTTTTATATACGTATATAATGTGTATAAGTACACAAAAGTATAAGTATACAAACAGTATTTCAGGAAGTTAATGTAGTGTCCTCATCAAGATGTGAGCAATTTACAATTTTTATAACGAAGAAGAAAGCGTAATTTTTACAATTACTATTTAGCTTCTTCATACTTTTACTTATTGTGTAGGTGTATGGGGGTGAAGAATAATTTATTTATTTCTTAATAAATAAAAAGTTTGAGTATATGATAATTAGAATAAATATGATATTAATTTATCACACTTTACGGACTAAATCACTTGTATATTTTTTTCCTATTAGCTTAGCCAGGTAAAAAATTATAAATAAAAGGCTATTAATTATTTTTTTTTATTTATTCTCTTTTGACTTCTAAATTATACCAGATTTTTTATTCTTGGTACTTATGTTTTAAGTTTGACGTCATTGTTTATTGATGATTCATACAGTAATTGTAATACTTTGTGTTCTTCTATAAACATACGATGACTCTACCTATACTGTTATTATATACAATTTGCCATTATTTAAAAATAATATTTGTTATGTTACATTCTGTTTGTTGCTATAGTTGTAAACATTTCAGACGCGAATAGGATTCTAAATTTCTTGTCTAGTTATACTAGATTTCGAGTTATCAATCCGCTGTATGTTTATCGTGTTTAATTCTATGTTGAATATACAAATAATCTATTAACCTTTAATATTTATACAATAATACTTTGTGAGACTCTGTAATATCATAGATAAACGTAATTATATTTAATAAACACTAAACTCTGAGTGAAAAATTGTTCATAAGAATTTATTATGATGCTATTGGCATAGGTATCAACTCATATAAGGAGCATGTATATTTAGTGATAAATACGGGGAAAAAGATTACTAGTACGTAGTAGTAAAAAATTTTTACTTTTTAAAAAGGAAGGCAACGAATTGGCGACTACTCTGGTGCCGTTAATATGCATAGATTGTGGTAATCACTTACCATCATGTGAATCGCATGCTCATTTATTATATAAATAAGTCCTTTTATATAAAAAAAGTCAACTTAGGATTATATCAGTCTTAAAGGCTGTCCATTACCGAACATAAGCCTTCCCCTTGAGGGGGTTTGTCAATAGTTGCCTTACTTGGCAGGCGACCGCAATTAGGCATTGGAGATGTTTTAAGAGGGACGCCGCTGACCATTCTTCGGACTCCTTAGTCGCCTCTAATGATACCAATGCGAAAGTAAGGGGTGGCATATTCTATGCCGGGACCACACGGCAATAATAGGATATTCGGTTGGAATTGTTGTTTTTTTTGTGGAACAAAATCGCTAGTTGACATATTAGTTACAGGAATGATCAGAATATTGACTAGTAATGAAATTAATAATGAAATCATTCCTTTTTATATACACCTTTTTACATAACTTTAATGTGCCTTCTTCCATTTTTTTTTGCTATACCTAATTGGGATTGGGTCTCCTTTTACGTGGCGCCAAAGGTTTATCTTGTCTTGAGATGTATTTTTGGGCATATGAGTTCTTTATAATCGAACGATAGTAGATAGACTACCATGTGGTGGTCTAAAATATCATTGTACCTGAAAAGAACTTTGCACAAAAATAAATCTTGCAAAAAAAAAAATCGACGGGCTAATCTTGAATCCAGTCGATTTTTTTGTCGTTTATGTTCCAAAATAAAAAAGAGTTGTGTTATTCTACAGTTAATGTCATTTTTGTCTTTCAGTACTCAACTTGACGCTGATCGATTTACCGGGCCTGACAAAGGTTCCGATTGGTGACCAGCCGGCCGACATCGAGCAACAAATCAAAGCGATGATCTTCCAGTTCATCCGGCGCGAATCGTGCCTCATTTTAGCTGTTACGCCAGCTAACACTGACTTGGCTAACAGTGATGCCCTGAAACTTGCCAAAGAAGTTGATCCTCAAGGTAACATCGAGCTAGGTTCTAGTTTTTTGAATTATAGGCATGATATTTTTTTAAATCCGTTTAGCTCGCGTATTTATCTTCGGGATTGTCTAACTCGTTTTGAAATCGATTGGAGTACCTGATTAAAGACGTGCCCTAATTTTTTACTATATTTAATGGAAACATTCAGTCTACTATTTTTGTATCAAGATATGTATTGATTATTATAGGTCTACGAACAATCGGCGTAATTACCAAATTAGATTTGATGGACGAAGGCACAGATGCACGTGACGTACTTGAAAACAAGCTACTGCCTCTTCGACGCGGATACATTGGCGTCGTCAACCGTTCCCAGAAGGACATCGATGGACGAAAAGACATCCAAGCTGCTCTTGGTGCTGAGAGGAAATTTTTCCTCAGGTAATAAAAGTTTACAAGCATCTGGAAGAAGATAATTGCGTGTTACAGCGCCATATTGATATTCGTATTGAGGATCAATCGATATCTATACAATTTAACAATAATTTTATGTTATAATAGTAAGTTAGCATCATCTTATTAGTGATATTTTATATTTTGGATATTGAAACTATTATAGTGGTGTCAAAACCGGTAATAAAGTGAAAAAAACGTTAAAAAAACGTTAAATTATTTAATAATGTTTCATACAATGACAGATTTATTATATTTTGTATCAAAATATATAATTAATATTTTATATAAATATCAAAATATAGGGTTTTCATGACTATGTTAAACATTTTGAGACAAAAACCAGTCAAACTACACATAACGTTTCTTCAATATGTCTAATGTACATATTATGTCATATGCCAAAAAAAATTGTGTTTGTTTTTTTATGTTACTTGGAATAGCAGAATCATTCGCTACCATACCATAGGTAAACAACACTATGAATCTCAAAAATAACTGTGATATTCGTAGTAGTGTTTTTGCTGAGGACAGATTTTTATGCCTCATGTTAATGATTACTCTTTAACTTTCACATAGTAACAAGGAAATACATTTACAATTAATGTATTCTTGCCTAAGTTGAGTTATTAAACTAATCATGGAAGGAATCATTCTTTGAAGTTAAAGCTTAATTTGATTGATAGAAACCATAGATAATTAGGTAACTAGCTAGAAATTGTTTTTTGACAGTATTACTTGATGCCCCACAGTCACCCATCGTACCGACACATCGCCGACCGGCTCGGCACTCCGTACCTGCAGCGTGTGTTGAACCAGCAACTCACGAATCACATCCGTGACACGCTGCCCGGTCTCCGAGATAAACTCCAGAAGCAGCTGTTAACTCTTGAGAAAGATGTGGACCAGTACAAACACTTCCGACCTGATGATCCCTCCATCAAGACCAAGGCTATGTTACAGTGAGTGTAGTTAGTTAGATTATTGATTTTGACTCATTTCTATTGACAGTTTACTCATCAAACATCAATGTTCTTGTTTAATTTATTTTATTAAAATTCTTATTTTCCAGAATGATTCAACAACTGCAAACAGACTTCGAACGCACTATTGAGGGATCTGGCTCCGCTCAGATTAACACAAATGAACTGTCTGGTGGTGCGAAGATCAATCGGCTCTTCCACGAGAGATTCCCATTCGAAATCGTCAAAATGGAGTTCGATGAGAAGGAATTGCGCAGGGAGATTGCGTTTGCTATCCGAAATATTCACGGTATCAGGGTACGTCTTAAAATTTTAAAGTGTTACATAAAAAATGTTTGCTCAAAATCTGGTGGCGTGGGTAATATTTTGAAATATGAGAAATAAATTACCACAGCAAGAACTTGTCTGTTAATAAAAGTAGTTATACATAAATTAATTATTATCATTATAATTTTTTTGTACTTTGCAATTAGTTAATGAGTGCTATTATTTAAATAATAAAATTATTATTTGATTGCAGGTTGGTTTGTTTACCCCAGACATGGCTTTCGAGGCTATAGTAAAGAAGCAGATCGGTCGACTGAAGGAGCCGTGTCTCAAATGCGTTGATTTGGTCGTTCAGGAGCTGTCCAATGTCGTCCGATTCTGTACTGAAAGGGTAATAAATTTATTAAATATTTCAGTTCGGTGAAGGGAGTATATCATGACATAATATTTCATATTAGTGCGATAATTTTAACTTGTCTTAGACGTTAATGTAAATCAATACTTCCGTGCCATCTGGTCACTGTTTTTTTTTCTCCTCTATTTATGACTACGACATTTTGTACAATAGAAATTGTCGTTTATCAACAAATATCCGGATCAATAGACAAAAGCTTGTCTGTTTTTAGATGTTAACATTAGATTAAATATAAATTTTAAAATGATCAGATAGCCTACTTTTAATATTGATTAACAACAAACAATTTTCATTAGCTCTCTATTTTATGTTTAATAATATAATAATTCCACAATTATGTAACAAATGTAAATATACTAATTTTATTATTTTTGTCACAGATGTCCCGTTATCCGCGTTTGCGCGAAGAGACGGAACGTATAATAATGTCGCACGTGCGTTCCCGTGAACAGACATGCAAAGATCAATTGGTGCTACTTATTGACTGCGAACTCGCTTATATGAACACTAACCACGAGGATTTCATCGGGTTCGCTAAGTAAGTTAATGCTCTATACATGTGAAATGACTATATAGCAGTTCATTGTATGATTTTTTTAATTAAGTGCGAGTAAATGTAAATCTTTGTTTGAATCAAGTGCCCAGAATCAGTCGGAGAATTCTGCTAAATCGGGACACCGCGCTCTCGGCAATCAAGTTATCAGGAAAGGTTATATGTGCATACACAATTTGGGCATCATGAAAGGTAAGTAAGGGATATGATTCATATTTGATATCCATTATAAGATAGATAGATAAAATATCTAATAAATCGTGTATTAGATTTTTATTAGAAACTTATAAATTTTTACCTTCTTTATATGTTATTCACTCTTAGTACAATTGAGACCTTGACGTTAAGTTGGCAAAAACATTACGTAGATAATTATTTATGATATTGTTTTTATAGATATAGAATTAATTACTTATTCTTTTATAATACTATACAAAAATTGCGATTCACTTCGCATAAAATGATCGACGACGTTCCTATTCAATTTATCTAAATCGTTTCAGAATTACTGAAGATGTCACATAAAAAATATAACTTAATTGAGAACTTTTCTTCTTGAAGTCCGTTACTAAAATACTCCTATCATTTTCAGGTGGATCCCGCGACTACTGGTTCGTGCTGACATCCGAGAGTATTTCCTGGTTTAAGGACGAGGAAGAGCGTGAGAAGAAGTACATGTTACCATTGGACGGACTCAAGCTGCGTGACCTCGAACAGGGATTTATGTCGCGAAGACACATGTTCGCTCTCTTCAATCCAGAAGGCAGGAATGTCTACAAGGTACTCCATACATGTATTTTGAACTTGTGTCAACAAATTTTGAACTGAATAATTCAACTAAAATAACTTTGTGTGAGATCTTGGGATACTTATTTGATTTGATAACTATTTAAATTAACATGTCATAGACATCATCATAAACTTACGTGTAATCGGTTGAGAAAGTTTGACTAGTTCTGGGTCCATCCGGGACTCTTAGTCTTGAGTGGCTGTGGCGCGAGCGCGAGCAAAATACTCGTATTTACACATATTCTCCTATTTCTTAGTTCAAAGCCAAAACAAAAGTTTAGTTTGGTGTAAAAGTTATATACTTACTACATGTTTTGAGACATTTTTCCATAATATAATTTTTATATTTGTAGGATTATAAGCAGCTAGAGCTGTCTTGCGAGACACAAGATGACGTGGACTCATGGAAAGCGTCATTCCTTCGCGCAGGTGTATATCCAGAGAAGACCTCAGAGGCGGCTAATGGTGACGAGGTTAGCATATTTTTATTTCTGAAATATTATGCTTGTACTTTTTCTGGTCTTTTACTTCCCCTAAAACTATTTTTCTTATTATACTTCGCTTCCTGATAATATTCGTAATAATTTATGTTTTTTTTTTTAATTGAGCAGTTTATTAATTTATAACGATATTTATTGACCTATAGTATTTTCTATTGCGATATATACTTAATAATTATCATATATCAGTTTATGTTATACCATTTGTTGTTTTGCCATGCAATACAGAGTGAAGGATCAGAGGTTTGTCCATGTTGACTTTATGAAATAACTCCAATGAACACATCACTCTACAGACAAAATATAACAAACGTAGTGCTGTTATTATATATGTGGTTTTCAGGAAATCTTCAATATAATAATCATGAATTTCGCTTCAAAATTTATTTTAACACATGTTTTTACAGCATTTCAATGATATAGTTCCTGTCACGTTAAACGAGCTCTGATTTTAATGCATAGACAATATACGAAACTAGATTGTTACTGTGGTTTTGTAGCCGTTTGAAGTCATGCAAGTTAGCAGTCACCTAAAGAACATCTGTGCAAAATTACTAGTTTAATTTTAGTTATTCAATATGGCTGTCGGTCGGTAGTTCAGTATTCTTTTTATACTCGTACATACCTATATGGTTTTTAAAAATTATCTGCAAAAACTTGCTCAGATTTTAATACTGACAACTTACTAATGTGTAGTCCTTCTTAACTCTTTGAATTGTTTGTAGTACACTTTAAACACCATTTATGTATGGATAAAGCTACTGCCCAACAAGTCCAGTGCTCAAATTATATGACATGAACTATATGTGTGTGTTGTTTTCTTGAAATGTATTTTTTTTTTACACTTTCTAGAAATAATTATATGTAAAGCATGTAGCCTCTTGCTAACATTTCTTGTAATAGCACTAAAACATCACATTTTGACTTTTAAATATTAGGCTTTATGATTAATTATATTTTGACATAGACCATTTGGGTACTATAATTTTTTTTTTAGCATGTTTATGTTTTTATTTTTAGTTAATTCCGCCTTTCCTGGTGTTGCGTGAGAATAAGAGAGTAAGTGACTCGTACATTCAAGCTTAATTTTTGCTTGATTTTGAAAAAATATAGTGCAGTGGTGATGTGACCTATTTTTGCGTTATGTTGATGTTACATCAGGTCGTTGCATGTTTCAAACGACTCCATACAAATTGCGAGTACTTTACTCTTGTTTGTTCAAGTTATTGTATTTATTTAGTCAATTATTATTATTTTTATATTGCAATTCATTTGGTTTTATGCGTTTTGTGTCATTTTACAGCACGGATTTTTGATATTTTGGCGATAATGAGATCTTTAGTATTTGGCAGTTGTATAATATTTAAGAGAGTTGTCGATCCTATTATTTATTATTAAGGTGAAGTGGTTTAGGAAATGACTAAAATCTTATTGGGAAATTTAAGTTTTTATACATATACTTCATTTTTCTGAAACTAAATTCTTAATTTTCTCTAAATAAACTTTGTTTTTGATTTGATGAACGATATTTTAATTTATAATTTATTGTAATAACTTTTAATTTATATTTAAATTAAACTAATACTTTGATACTAATTAAAATACTAAATTCTGTATGTATTTTCCAATATCGAAACAGTCAATTTTTACACCAATATACGCTTACATCACGCTGTGGTCCTAGAATTTGCTGCTTTCGAAAGACCTTACTTTAGTATTTCATTTTAAGGTCTATTCAGATTATGTAATAGGTATATGTATATTGTATATGTCGGCGGTTATTTTTTATATACATACTGTAAGTAATTCGAATTTCTTAGCTATACATTGCGTCATCCATACATACATCATCTGTTGAAATTTAATCAGTCTTTATAAGTTTGGTCTATAGAACTTAGACCAAACTTATAAAGACTGATTGACCAGAGCGGATCAGTCCCTACAGGCAGCACCCGTTCACGAGTATGACGGGTGAGCTAGCCGTCATTGCGCTCAATTATATTTTACGGAACTCAGTAACTCTGCCCATCACTTCACCACCTATCTGGATATTTTAGTTAGCATGACTTACCTAAGGCCTCCAACCACGTCATAACCAAATTTAAATAATTTTATACTGAATCTGAATAGACCTTTATAGTAATTAACAGTCTTTAAGTACGACTAACTCTTTGTATTAGGAAATTTATTATATGAGTTTAAAATCAGAAGTGTGGTGAAGTAAGGTTTCCATTTTGCATGTTATTTTTACAATTACATAGAAATTTAAGATTTTGCTTCATATTTAGAATGCTTTATGGTTTCTAATGAGGAATTTTAGTGCTGGGTTTCAGGATGTAAGGTTTGCGCTTATTGAAATAATAGGGTCAAGATACAACACCTAGACTGTCTCGTTTTTTTTCGTGAGATTAAGTGCAGTAGTATGATTTTTAATGTTTAAAAAATGGATTGAATTCCTGTACGTGTTGTCCTTTTCATTGTTTTTTTTTTCGTGAAAGTAAATATAGTGGTTTGATTTTATGTGTTTAAAAGAAGATTTACATTATACAAAGTCTCATTTATAAAAAACGTTAAGACTTCAATGAGCTTAATTAACTAGCGGTTTTATGTCACTCTTTTTCATATTTAAATTACAGTTAGAAATAAAGAGTCGAAACACTTTAATTCTTTAACTAAGTTACTTACACATTTTACGTGTTTCTGAATAATGGAATGTAGCTGTGGAATAGAATTACGTTACGAATTACTTTTGTACCTCAATACAATATAAGAAATGAAAATATTATTCAATTTAAATTTGATACTCCTTAGGACGTGTGCTCATCTTGAGCCTTGAATAAAATGGACATTACATCGCTGAATATGTTCGTGTAATATTTCATGGAAATATTTTCGTTCAATACGCATCCTTAAATAGAGCTATTTTAAAGTGTCGTTTTATATTATTTTGTAACTCACGGTGAAGTTTTGAGCAGACTGGTCGACAGATTGTCTACATAATAGACATTATAATTAATAATGATTGCACGTTATAAATGAATTGCTTACAGAGTTCCGATAGCGCCGGCACAAGCAGCATGGATCCGCAGCTCGAGCGGCAAGTGGAGACGATCAGGAATCTGGTCGACTCCTACATGCGTATAGTCACGAAGACAACGAGGGACCTCGTGCCCAAAACTATAATGATGCTGATCATTAATAACGCCAAAGATTTTATCAACGGAGAGTTGCTAGCTCATCTGTATGCTTCCGGAGACCAGGTAAATGTCTCAGTTTTTTTTAGTTTTCAATAACGTCAACGATATTTATATTATATATTATTGTAGTTTAATGAGAAAAAGACAAAATAATAAATGTTGATAATGAAAGGTTAAAAGTACCATCATTATCATAATCATCTTATCAGCCGTTAATTGTTCGCTGCTGAACATAGACTCACTAAAAGGGGTTTTTGCCAGTAGTTGCTAGACTTGGCTGATGGCTTGGCAGCCGCAGGTTAAGCTTTGGTGATATTTTAAGAGGTATTCTGCCATCTCATGGGAAAAGAAGATTCTAAGCCGGGACCAAACGGCGAAGAAGCATAAATATGTCAAAATTATGACGGTTTTATCTGATTTCTTATTTACAAATAGTTTAAATAGTTTTTAAACCTTTTATAAAAACAGCGGTCATCTGATCAATCTGATCATGAGATTGACGTTAATTTTTAATTTGAGTTGGTATACCTTTTCTGAATAACCTATTTAATGGTTCATTTTACTTATATTTCTCAGAACCCTATGCCGTATTGTCATGATGAATCTGGCATGTTATCTGCTATACGACGCACTGTAAGCTCGCGTTAGATACGTAAAAATATTACCTGTTTAATAAATATAAAATCGATTGTAGTTTTACAAATTAAATGGACGTATTGTAGTGTATATAAGATTGTCTAAACTCAGTACACAATTGTTTCTTGACAATTTTAAATAATGAATTATTTTAAATGATTTATTTTATTATTTTTATTCCTCCCGAGTATTTTACGATTGTTTATTAGCCAGATATATTAGTTATTAGTATATTTTGAATATGGATTCCTATTTGTGTTCTTATAGTTAAAATAAATTTGATATTTTAGTTGGTTATTTGATATTTATGATATTTTTTTTTATTCTTATGTTGGTTTAGTTTAATTTAATTGGTTATTCAGTGTCGAGTTTACAAAATATTTATTAGCGTTGATTTTTGAAGGAATAAATAAATAAATAGATAAATAACTGTGGACATATTGTAAACAGGCGACGGTTACAACTTTCTATCAGGTGAGCAGTCAGCTTGTTTGCTATTCTAAGCTGCATAAAAAAAATACAGCCTGTGTATGTTCTGAAAATTTAATGGGTTACGACGTCAATTATAAATATAATTATTATTATTATTTGACACCTAGATGTCTTTCCTATACTTCAATATTATACTGGAAATGGCAAGAAAGCCAATAATCTGATGGAAAGTGTTTCTTTGCTATAGTCATGAACACATCAGTTATTATATTATGATACTTATGATTATTGCGGACTGTAACCGTTCATCCATTCAAATAATGACAGCTCTATGTTTGGCTCAAGTGTATTGATTGATAATTAATTGGACCAACGTGTTTGTACAGTCGCAAATGATGGAAGAGTCCCCCGAGGAAGCCCAGAAACGCGAGGAGATGCTGCGCATGTACCACGCGTGCAAGGAGGCGCTGCACATTATTGGAGACGTGTCGATGGCGACTGTGAGCACGCCGGTGCCGCCGCCTGTCAAGAACGACTGGCTCGAGAGTCGTCTCGACTCCAACCCCCGTCTATCGCCGCCTTCACCCGGCGGTCCGCGACGCGCCACACCCGCACAGCAAGGTATGCCATAACTTATGTATATCGTAATGTACTCTATTCGAAATCCTTAGCATTCTTTTGAAGGTGTGTTTTTTTGCGAAATATAGCGGGGAAATTGTCGAGAAATTTTTAGCCTGCTATATACTAAATTCAAAACTTGATCCTTCAAACCGAACCACAGCCATGCAAGTACAGTTGCTTGACAGTAGAAAAATGGTGTAGATTGAATGTCTTCCTGTGAAGTAAAACCCCGATTCTTTTCTTCGATGAGTATATTGGAAATGCCGGTTTAAATTTTGATTATTAGTCAATTGGGTATCATAAACACGCACTCGATATTGATTTTACATTTCAGATCAATGTATTAATGGGATCGCCTCGATAATATTAGACATTTATTTCTTAAAAGTGATTAGCGAATAATCAGCAATTTAAAGCTGATTTAAATATTATCTTTGTATCTTGAAAAGATAATTGTTATTGTAATGTGTACGCGTGTAGGTTCGCTGGGCCAGCGCGGTGCTCCGCCGCCGCCGGGTCCGGGCACAGGGCGGCCGGCCCCCCCGCTGCCGTCGCGGCCCGGCGGCGCCGCGCCGCCGCCACCGGGCGCGCGCCCCGCGCCCGGCGCCGGTCTTCCCGCGCCCCTCATACCCACGTGAGTACACGCTGCACACATCACACGTAAACACACTTTTAGGCTAGTGCCATATTCACCGTATCTTCGGTCGCCGATGTGGCATTTAAATTGAACTGTCCGCCCAGTATCGCACATTACATAAGAAAATATACAGTGTTGTTGTCGATCTTCCATTGACCGAATATCGATGCGCAGATGCTCGAAAAGACTACGGACGCGAGCATGTCGTGGCTTTATGTTGACGTCATGATTGATTTTCCTTGCAGTGACTGGGAGTTACTTGTATGTTATTTGATATATTATTGCTTGGCCGCGAATGTTCAACGACTAAAGATCGGCCTAGTGTGGCATTAGCTATAATCAGATTTTTTTTATGTTTGGCACAATTAGTAATCATTCAGCATAAATAAGGTTCTCGATGGTTCCTAAGCTAGTCGAGTATCAACAAAAATACACACACAAAAAGATGTAAAAATGCTCATCGAATTACACGCAATAAAAATTTGATATTGATACTGAAATAATGCACACTATTTTCAAAATTTCAAAATAATAAAATCAGTTATAAAAATAAAATAAAGAAGAGGTTGTTTTATAGTTCTGCGAAAGAAAAAAAAAAGTTGCTGACATGGTTAATTTAATGAGATACAACAATAATATCCAACATATGTGTAATCAATTTATACTATATTTTATTCTATGTGCCAAATATAAAAAAAAGATTATATAACCTGTTGGCATATAAATTACAGTAGACACTTAGCAGAAACTAAAATTACGCAGTAATAGATTGCACAGAGTATTTGTTATTTTATGCTGTGTTATTTAGATAAAGAGACATGCCAAGATTTTTTATTATATTTGCCAAATAAAAGAAAAAAAATCTGCCTTTTAAAATTTTTCAAACGATTTGAAAAACAAGATTTTCTAAAATGAATAAATAACAACGCGAAATCGAACACCTGTAATTTATGTCTGTGATGGTTTTTGCGGGTCGTCACTGACGACTGATCGTGTCTTTTGACACAAAAAGTTGTTCATAGGTCTGGCGATATCGGGCAAAATACACAATGTTTCGTGATGCCCTGTGTTGTAGTACAAATGCTGCTTATTGAATTCACCGTTTAGTTCGTAAATCCATAGACTGCGGGGTTGACGTCACTGATGTGCAACCTAGTCTATACCTGTGTATAATGTGAATTCCAAAAGTAGGCCTAAGGGTCTGGTTTGTGCTTTATGTGTTGTACTTCGCAAGAGATAGCGTACGGAGTTAGTAGAAAACAGGCGTATTTGTTTTTGTGAAATGGATTCGTCGATATGTGTGTATGTTTGTTTGTATTCTATTAAGCTTTATCACCGCAGTATATGAATCATTAGATATGTTGAGATAATGCTACAATTAATTGGGACAATGACAGTTAAAAAAATATTAATCGATTTATTGTTTTAAATATCAACATAATTAAAAATATTTCACCATTTTGAATAATTATTTTCGTTAGTTTTTATATTGTTAGCATTAAATTCGTGTTCCTTTCTATCTCTTTGTTGACAGATCAATGTTGCCATATTGCTAATACTTTGACGTTGGCAGGTGCACTTATAATCGAATTTACTGTTGAAACTCTATTTAATTCTAATTTTGCGTTGTAATATAGCGAACACTACACGTATATGATAAAATGTTTTCATTGGCATATTTTATTTTTATAATTAAAAGTTATTCCTTTAATATGTTTTATGTAATACCTTCCATGTTTAGCAGATCAAAATATTTATTTCTGACGTAATGAATACTATAATGTTGTAGTACAATTTATCTGTTGCGATTCGTTCGTCTCGTCTAGATGATATATTTAGGATATTTAGGAAAGCTAATATTTTGTCTAGAAAATAAGAGTATGCCATCTTTTAGGTACAATATGCCTGGTGTGCCAGTTTTGCTTTTGGTTTTATATATTAATACATTTACTAATATATATAATAGAGTAAATAATAGAGGCATTTGCGTGGGTAATGTAACAGCCATAATTATGCATTTAATAAGGTATGCTTTTATATTTATCATATTTCACCTATGTATGTATCATGTTTTGTATGGGAAGTTAATATATATTACAAATATTACCTAGAAAAAGAAGTCAATATCAACTTGACGGTAGAAAAATTGAAAAGGATTTGTATTTGTTTGTGCTAATAATGTTCTATGAGTAAATATTCTAACATCATTTATGTATATATGGTATTTAAAAATGTACTGTAAAAGATTAGGATAATAAGATTAAATGCGTTTTGAACTGATGTGAGAATAGTGATATGATTTGTAAACTCTTCGATGAATAAGTTTTTTTTTTTATTAAGATAAGAATTATATCTATGCATGCTTCATATTCAAAAAGATGTTTCGTATAAACACAAATTCGTGGCAGCCACGAATTATTCTATTTATCCTTCTATAGATTTAGTTCAATAAATATCGTAGCTGATATTGTTGTAGAGACCTCGTAGAAATACCAATTTTTTCATGATTTTGCAGTACATATTTATATATCATATACAAAGGTAACCATTAGCACAAGCAGCGCATACTGAGCTGTATGGTTGTTTTCGCAGGCGGCGCTAAACGTGCTACACGGCGACCTCACTAACTAACTAACTTAAGTTACGTACACAAATAAGGTACTAACTCTTATGAACTTGTTAACTTAGTACATTGGTTCTACGTTTCAGCATGCGGGACCTAACGTTGTGTAGTTGCATATATCAATTGATAATATCGAAATGCCTGAATGAGCATACTGATACATTTTTGACATTTGCATAATTTTGAATATCCAATAAATAAAGTTATATTAAACATAAAATATTGTAGTAAGTTAACAAATGTATCATGAAGTTTATAAATAATTATACATATGTTATATACAAAATTATTAGTCATGTAATTGATACTTATGATACGTCTGAAAGAATATTGCTTCCATAAAAATATTAAATACATAGTGAAATTTATGAAATAATCTACTTGTAGTATACAAATAGTAAATTCTGCTTATTATTCTCCTGCAGGCAGTCATTCAAATGAAGTCATCTGTAACCACGTACAGTATAGTACAGTAATATTACTTAGAATATATTTTTTTCAATATTATTTTGTTATAAATATAAAGGTTGTGGACTCATCGAAAACTATAAGGGCTGCCTGCAGCGAGACGATGTTTCAATATTATAGTCCAAATAGGTGTCTATTCGATATATACTATCTTTTACTTGTACGATGAGCTAACGAAACGAGGGACAATGTACGACATTACAGTCGTGTTCTGGGAGTGCGGTGGTGTAGTGTCAGAAAACATACTGTCGTGGTAAAATCGATCGTCTATATATTACTCAATAAACGAATAGCTCTTAAATTACGTATAAACAAGTAAACATGAAATTAGTACCGAATTATTTGCTTCTAGATCTTTAAAAACGAGGTTTGACCTCTTATTGTACCAAAGATAATAAATACCGAGTTCCTAGTACACGACAGTTATATTTTTTCTATAAATTTATTTTAAAATATTTTAAAGAGTTATTATTAAATAAACACTGCATGTGTTAGCTTTAAAAATAGTGTGTGTGTGGTCTTCATAACGCCTATGTGTCCAATGTTTTTCTAGAATATAAAATACTTTTTATTTATATGTTAATTTGAACTATATTTGAAGGTTATTATTGCACTAATATAAATGTTAGAGTGTTTTCTTTTTACATGTCATTATTAACAATCTCCATGTGTTAACTACCTATACTTCATCTTATTTTCTTAGTAGTGTATTTTTGTAAATGTTAAGTGTGAATGAAATATATTTTATATACCTATTTAAGTACATTTTTCACAGTTGCCCTGTAAGAATTATATTTTGCGCATATTGTACATTCGTTTTGTATTAAAATATTTATTGCGGTTACATTACCCCGAAGTGTCTTACAGAGAAGCTGTGAGGTTTTCACTCACTTGTATGCACTTGTTGTTGTTATTACGTATATATATAAAGCAGCGTCTTTCTTTGACCATTTCATATACATGTCATCAATCAATAGAAAATTCAATATCCCAAGGCTCTACAAATATTTCTGTGTTGCAAAATTAATTATTTGCAAGTAAATTACAATTAATTTTCTGTAAATTATTTAGATTAAAAACGAAAAAGTTTAGTAATCCGTATTTTATATTAAAAAAATAGTTTTCGAGAAAAAAAAGTTTAGAATGGCCTACCCTTATTGTACATATTACACACATACATATATAATATGGTTTACATGTTTCGTATATTTCCTCATATATATGAGTTAAAATAATAAAAATACTAGGCGGCCGGGCGGCGGGAGTGCGGTGGGCGCTGCCATGGGCGCTATGAACCAGATGCCGCCGCACATGCGCCAGCAAGTGAACCAGGCAGTCGGGCAGGCAGTCACCAACGCGGCCATCAACGAACTCAGCTCCGCCTTCGCAAGATTCAAGTAAATCACAGACTGACTGTTGTGCAACGCACTGTTCTAATTTGTGATTCGACTAACACTAAGGGCCGGCGCAGACGAGGGATGTTCCTCGGGCTACTTTTAGTCCATACTTCTTTACCTTTTGTTTCTCGTATTTTACGCAGTTTTATACAATGTATCATATTATTATATCTTACAATAATAATATGACTATGGGGGCTTCGTTATAACGAAGGTGGTCGAGAAACTCTTGACATCTGAGGACGCCACCCTCACAGAGTACTCCATCCTACTTGTACTGAGTAGACGATTTTTATACTGTACAAGATGTTATAGAAGATTGTATTAATATTGAAATTGCATCGCTGGCTACTAAACCTTGATTTGGATATGATCCTATGTATTCGGTAGATCATATACCTCTAAGTGCTATATTTCGCATAAACAAATAATTGTCCCTTGTTTGCGCAGGCCTTAATACTATGCCAAATTGATCGTAACGGTCTAAATTTACAAAATACATATCTTCGTTGTTACTGCAATATGTTGTATGTCGTACGAAAATGAGCGAAGTGTTATGTTAGATGTTTTCTTGAAAAGTAAAGATTGATCAGTAAATGACATAATAGTAGATGCCATTATATATTGTTGTAACTTAAGTAAAAATCAAACAGATTAATTATTCTACTATAAAGATACAAATGTTTAACATCATCCTAAAAAGTATGTGGGAAGGTTATTTTGGTATGTGACGAAATTATTTTGAGATGTGACAAGACTGTTTTGATATGTGACAAAGTTTTTATGAGACGTGACAAGGCTATTTTGACATGTGACAGATTGAAGTATCAACGATGAAATGGTCGAGTAAGGTTCCAATGGGAAACCAACTAAATTATAACTTAGTTGATTAATATTGAGAATTCATCCCTTCCCTTAAAAATATTCAAACAAATATTGAAATTTTTGTCTAAATGCTTGTGTGGTTGATAAATTGTTACCTTGAATGTGTGCGATATATTAACACTAACGCTTTTTGTTTAGTTCCTCTCTAATGTACAGAATTTATATTTTACAATCGATTACTCTTATATCATTGTGAATACATTAAGCACTATAAATTGTAACATGTGTGAGCCTATTGTAAAGGTTGGTGAACTCAGTAATACAAATTGGATATAAGGTTATCTAAAATCATTATGGATTAAATTTCTTATACGGAAAACTAAAGAGGAGTAAAAATATACTAATATATTTCAATTTACAATTATTTTATTTGAAAATTAACTGGGTCGATCGATCTTTGTTGATGTTGTGTTTATGTCTTCATATATTGTGCCTCTCTAAGATGAGTGTCATTGTGCACAAACAACTAAACGCTGCTTGTGATATTGTACCGTATTGTTACCGTAATCTTAATAATGGGACCGTACTGTTTTGTAATATAAATTACATATATGTTACAATGGTTTACATTGAAACATGTATTTTAAAAGGTTTTGATTTGAATTTTTTTTTGTTGCTCAACATGTAGCAATAATACTTGCTCAAGTAATAGACAAACCATTGAAGTTTTGAAGATCACACACGCATCGCTATGAGATCATTTCGCTAAATATGAGACATGCGCGATAATCTAACACTCTAAGAGTGGTAAAGAGTTCATTGTATTTCTGACTAGGAAAATAATGTATAAGTTCAGTATTACTTGTGAATGAAATTATTGTTTATAGTATTATACTATATGTAAAATGGAGACCCACAGACGCGGGTTAAATTTAATAAATATAACACTTATTGAAATATGTAATTAAATTTACTTTGTGTAATTAATTGTAAATGTTACATTCAGTGACTTAAGATAGGTGTATATTGAATTATGTAGATGAGTTGGTACGCAGACGGCATCGCGGCCCTGGACCGCAACGTCAGCCATCCAAACGTGCATATCATTGTTTTGTAAATGTGCTAAAGTTGTACGTACATAATGTAAAGCGCGGTTCGTCCGTTTGTTGATGTTTACGCACTCGACACCTTCGTTGCGTAGAGCTAGCTGCGTAGTGACAGTGGTTGCCACACGTTCTCACGTCAGTGTCTAGGTGTTCCAGTAGTTTAGGTCTGCGACGCGCTCCCCCTGAGTATTTCTCCCCCGTCTTTAGTAGTGCTCAGTCGTATAATATATACATAATGTTATATGCATTTACTCAAAACGATTATACCCCAAGCTTGTTTGTTATTGTATATTTACAATTGTATCAGTATAATCTGGTATTAGATTATAATGGTGACGTAACACGTAACTTATGAATCCCTCAAGAGGTTATTAAAAGTTTATATGTAAAATTGTACTTATAATGGCTAAGACCAAAGCAGTTGTCCTCTTTATTGTTGCTGTTAGCAATATCTTTGGTCAATTATTAGAATGGTTTAATGATGGTGATACATTATAAATTCGTTATATGAAAAGAAGATATAAAATAACGAATATTATAAAATTTTGAAATCATCGTTTCTCATCGTCACCTCATTAGTATTGTTCATGTTCACAGATTATTATATACACATTTAGTGAGATCGTGAAGTATTAAATTCATATATTGTTCGAAAATATTTCAGATCGGGGGTTATAATGTCATATTAGCCCATGACCAGTCAGTAGCTCGCTTAGTTGAACCTTCAGGTTGCAACTGTCTCCGTGTAGGCAAAAGACATACTCGTCGTACCGAGTTTACATTTACATTCCAGTATAACGCTGTAGCTATGTTATTGCTCTATCGATATTAGCAGAATATAAAAGTTAAACAAAATCATCTAACGTTTTGCTCTCTCCCTTGTTGATAGCATTAGTACCATCGAAAAAGGTATAGGCAGTGATTGTTGGATTTGATATAGTTTATGAATATTGTTAATCTTATGCTGTATAAATAGAGTAATTAAATGCTATATGTGTATTAAAGATGTTTGATTTATTCCAGTAGTTAGCATATAAAATACCATTGGCTTCATACTAACTATTTATTGGGAATGTATTTCCCTAAAGGATTATATATTAGGTAAGCTCAGTTTATACTATTGTAGTAAATATTTCAATAAGATTATTTATGGTTTCTCATATAATTTGTAAAAATCGTATTATTTTTCTTTTATTAGTGTTTTTCTTATTGAAATATCTAAATTAGATGGTTTTGCTTCCAATACACTATGTTAATTTTAGGATTGGTGCATGCAAACAACATAGCTACGATTACTAGTTAGTAGGTTTTTATTAACTGCAGATAATTATTTTTGTGCTAGCAATTGAAACGGTTTTCGTCAATGGCATGTTGATTTTGAGTGCGTAAGATGCTAGTGAAATTTTTCATGTATATCTAAATTTTCAAATAAGGCTCTAAAATTTTACTTAACTTTTCTTGAATTTATTTTCAGTAAATAAATGCATGATTCGAAGTTATAGTTAAATTGCGTAAACGTATTGTATTCACAAAGCTTGTAGCTGTTTTATTTAAAGCTTATATCTATTCTATACTGTAGGCACTTAAAACTTGTATCTATTATCACTTCTATTGTAAATATTTATACTTAATCATACATGTAATTATGCATTGTAAATAAATGTAATATTTTATTTGAATCATTTATTAATATGTCTTTGTATTTTCATAGTCGTCCGGTCCCGAACGTGCCTCCCAAGTTGCCCGAGCGACCGCAGAATGGACGGCCATTTTGAACACGCCTTCCTGTTGCCGCCTTCTTATTAGATGCATTGTATATAAATCTCTCCTTTTAATTTGTATATGGCTAAATTTATTTAATGCTTAGTATGTACGAAAATGTAATAGGTATTTTTTTATTTGCGCCCTATTCAGAAATTTTACGCCTAAGGTGTAAATTAATATTTATTCGAAAATGAAGAAATGAAGATATTTCATGGTAGCTAAATAGTTATCAATTTGTAATATGGGTAACTTTTCAATTACAACGCTATTTCTTACCATTTCTATAGACACGTGTACTGATGTATTATGTATACTGGCGAGTTATTGCATTGACCACTTATTTTAGGTATAGTACTAGATCCCACTGCTTGATTATGCTCATCTATTTTTTTTTTTTTATCAAAGTGCATTCTTTATTTATAAATTAATAGAGGGTCCGCGTATCTCCTCTCAATGTTCTAAACCTTATTTTTACCCAATTACCTATTAAAAGTCCAGGTAATTTGATTAATTTACTTTTGAAATTTAATGACGTTAATGTTTAAATGTTACACATAAAAATATACTTTACATGTGTAGTTTTTTTTTGAGACTATATTTTGATAGACAACGGGGGAAAACGTATTATTTTATATATTATTTGTAGGAAAAAAAAACAGATGAGTGTTGGTTATCATGCAGGGGGAGCTTAGGCTATTATAACTGTCTTGAAAATGAAAAATAAACTTATCCAAATGCTAATTATGTGTAAAATCTTTGTCAATGCTTATTGTCTTAATTACTAAACATGTTTACTAAACATATGAAAAATATAATTTCATATTACAATGGTCACAAGCTATAGACAAAATAAGGGCATTCTATTGTCACCTAATAAAGTAGGCAAACTGTACAATATTTTGTGTATACGTATTTTTGATACCTATTTCGTACAGTGTGTACATAAATAAATACATACTTGACCATCTTAATTGAATATTGTTAGATACAGAATTATTCATATTTTTGTATTCATTCAACTACACTGTGATATATCGTATTTGGTAAGTGATAACGAATTATGTAAACATACGATGTAATTGAATGTAATTATCATATTTGCACTAAAAATACACAAGTCGCAGGGTAGTGATGTGTATAAATAGAGAAGACGTCGTTATAGGACACAGATTGCATTATTTGTTGCCTTATTTACACATGTCTAATTGGATTTAACTCCAGATTGGATAAAAATGGCACTTTACGCGATTCGTATAACCTGTCAAGTGGGAGCGTAATATGAACGACCTTGCACAGGTTTGCTAATGTAACAAATGAATCGCATTATGATTTGTATAAAGTGGGATTTTAAACACAGTAGTTTTAAGATCAGTGACTTTGAAATAAACGAGGACATGGCGTTCAAACGCCACGTCGTTATAATTTCACAATTTTGAATGCCGCAAGATAGGTTCAGTTTAATGTAGGGATGCGGCCTTAGTTTTTTTTCAATAAAAATATTCTATCTTTATGTCTAAATCTAGAAAAAATATAATTGGATTTAACAATGGCCATTGGTCCACTAAGGATTTTTATGTAACATTTCTGTGTTAACATAAAATTTACATCTTTTTATCGCATTTTCCATTTGTAGCCCATAATATAATGCATAAGAATGTATTTACCACCGCTATCATATTAATATGTTATAATTTGACTTTATATTCATAAGTAATTAATTCAGCATCATTCGTGTTATATGGTATTTACAATTGTTTTGCGTGATCAGTATCAGAAACTACACCTGTGCGTGCAATCTCTTTTTAGCAAAAAAAAAAAAAATGCCAATAAAAAAAATATTAGAAACGTTTTATACGTTCCATGTCATAATAAAGATAATATTTGATAATGAATGAAAAGCGAAAACATACCGTGCAATAAGGTAACTTCAAAAGACTTAAAATATGATGCTGAAAGGTTGATGACGCAGGTCTTTGAATGTTTCTTTCGTCCTTCGTCCTTCCTAATAGTTTTTTTTAATAATAAATAGGCTTACAGCTGAAGTCTCCGAGGTGGTGATAGGTGCTCAATAATATTTAAAACCCTGTCAGCACACCGACTTCGCGATCGCGAACGGCAGTAGCGAAGCGAAATGCTGGTAACTAGCTCTATTTGCAGGACAAATAATGATTTGCTTTGTCCCTTCATTATCACCGTTCGCAGTGCCTGTGTGCTAACGGCGAAAATTGCTCGAACTTCGTTGAGCATATCTAATTACAACAGATTCATAAGTTATAAGTTTATTTTTGAAATTATTTACGCTACATTTTTAAACATTGCGTTTAACAGGTGACGTATTTAAGTGACTTACAAGGAGGTTCTCATTTCGTTTCTAATTTGTCTTGTGTTCTTCCGAACCGAATATGAACTGAATTTGATATTTTTTTTGCTACTGATAGGCTTATTAACTCTAGCTATTATTTTGCAAAGCAAAATCTTATTGATAAATGTACAAATATTATAAAGCACTAAATGTAGTATAAATGTTATATAACTATAACAATAACCTCGGCAATATTGTATTGTTAACGTGACAATAGCTAATTAAAATGGAATTAACAATATTGTTGTATTGGAATGTATAATTATTATATATACAAAATAGGAATAATAATCCGAAATTCAACATTAGTAACTGGATATGCACAAAACTAAATAACTTTCCGTAGAGATCGATTTCTTGCGAACTGATCCTAGATGAAAGTTGTTTAGTTTTATGAGTTGAACTTCGAATTGTTACGTTTCCGTTTATATATGTACTTGTATTATTGGTAAAAGTGAATATTGTAAATCACTGTAGTTGTTATTGTACTCGTATCGTGCATCACAAGGAGTATTTGAATGGTGTTTGTAGTTACTATGTTCGACTGATATTGTGATAGGGTAATAGAATGCTTGTGATAGTGAGGTGCTTATATTGTGACATGCACCTTCTAAGAGATTGTAACTTTTAATAATCGTGTTATTGTGGCATTTAGTATTATGGTCTGGCGTGTGGATTTCGTTCAGATAATTTGTTGATATTTTTACCACCATGAAATGCCTACTGAATTCAGCATGTCTACAAAATATAATTTTGAAGCAAGTACTAATAAAAAATATGTGTAAAAAAAAGAGATTTGCTCTAAAGATTCTTTCCGTCCAGATTTAATTCTCCTTCCTCGATTTTATTATATATATGATATTACTGATCTGAGCAATGAAAATGTTAAATGGATTATTGTAATCGAACATGGTTTAATCCTTATTTCATGTATTTTGCATGTATATATTTTTTTTGTCAAGTGTCGGTTTGCACTATCATTTTAAAATGCCCACTATATTGTAACAGGCAAGCAATACAACTAATGGAAAATGTTAGACATGCAGAATTCAGGGAATGAACTCAGAATGATGCCATTGGCGTGCTTCATGTGTTGTTATTCCTGAAATTTAGTGTATGTTAGTAGTAGGATTATTTCTTTTACAACGAAACAATACAGCACCTATTTTTATGTCCGTTTGTTTAGGGCCCCCTCGTGGGTCTTTGGTGAGGTATACAGGGAGGGTGTGGGTATAAATGATTCATGAAAAGATTGCAATAGGACCACGAGGGATAGTAAAATCTATTTTATCTACTGGTAGGATAAATTATTAGGACCACGAGAAAAGACCTAGCTCGCGGATACGGCTGTATAGTGGCGCACGCGCTTTCCTGCCCGTCTATGTATATCTCTACGCACCTGCGGAGTGACGTATTTTATGTTCTTTTTTAATATGATATTTTTGTTTTTCTTTTTTTTTTGGCATATTAACATAAAAATATTCTAGTTATTTTTTTGCTTATGTACTGTTATCTCGTGTATATGTATATAAAATTATATTACTAAAAATGTTTAGAGTAAAAGAACAAACTATAAAATTCTGCGTCATTCCGCAGGAGTTTGCTGATAATTATGTTGAATAGACTTCGCGCGAATGGAAAATGCTTTAACAGACATTGTTGCTTAAGTGATGATAGAGTTTTGTTGTGTTATAACTAAATATTTTTTATACATTCCCGTATCTCCAATTCACACGCCAGCTATATGTGTATATACATGTAAAAACTGTAATATGGACCTGTTTATACTTTGTGTACTGTTGTATGCAACAATAAATGTGTATATAAAATATATGCCTGTAGTTTTTTTTTGGATCGGTATGGAGTCTGTAGTAGACGCTTGTGATGGTAAAATTAGTACATTCTGCGCTGGTTATGTGGTAAAAAGATTATTTAAATTAGTTACCCATTTTAATCTTCATTTGTTGACCATAAATTACTATTTAGACACTTAGATTCATATTTAGAATTCACCAAAGTCACTCTCTGGACTTTGTACAAAAGTCGTTTTGTTTGAGCACTTCTATTTCATTCGTGTTTTTACCGTGAAGCAGTTGTGTTTCCATGACTGTGTTTCGGTTTGAAGGGTGGGATATGGCAGTAAATTTACAGGGTACAGAGGAATAACACCTGAGTCCTCAGGAATGACAACGCATGGGAGGTATCATGGGTGAAACAGTATACTTTGTTATGTCCGTGGTACTGCTTATTTCTATAGGCGACTTTTGCCACTTTCTATCAGGTGGGCCGTCAGCTTGTTTGCTATTCTAAGTTGCATAAAAAAGTACTATGTAGATACTTAGGTACTTATAAAGTCCTATGAGTCAACGTTACATTATTTTACAATAAAAAAAACATGTTTTCAAAAGGACAATGAATTCCTAATGTAGGTTTATTTTGATCGCCTCTGCTGATATGGGATTGCTAATTGTGAAATCGCATGACGACTATGGTGTTTAACGTCGTGAAAACGTTTTTAAATTTTTGGCTGTTTTTTCTTCATAAGCTAGGTAACTTTGATAAAGACAAGTCACTTGTTAGAAATTAAGGGACGCTAATGGGATTTCGATGTTCCCATTTTGTTAATAGGAACGTGCAGCTAAGGCATATTGTCCTTATGTGGTATATTGTTCTGGAATAACAATGAACGACTCATAGACGTAGTATAAAATACGACTCATAGTTAACTGGTAATGAAATGCTATAAGGTGTTATGTCCGCCATATGTAAAATTTAGGTGTGCTTAAAGTTAAATAAATACTTTTTACCATCGTACAGCCCGCCATTGATATGGAGTTTAGCCTCATGCCTGGATGCTCCTTGTCGAAGTTTTTTCAAGGGATATATGGGGTTCTTCAAAAAGGGGTAAACAAGGTCTTTTCAGGGTCGGCAACGCGTGTGTAAGGCTCCTGCAGGCGTTCATAGGCTTCGGTAACCGCTTACTATTAGGTGGGCCATATGCTTATTTGCCATCTCAGTGGTATAAAAAAAAATAAGAATACAATGTGTTACTGCTCCTTTTATTATCTCTTTTAATTTAGATTTAGGCGACTAAAAGAACAAAATGCAAAAAAAAAAAATAAGTATGAAGCAAAAAACAAAATCTGTACCTATATGAATCCGTTTAGTAATTAGAAAAATAATAAGAAGATATCCCTTTGAGAAAGTGTCCAGCCGTGGAACGTTATAAGGCTGTTAACGATGGTATAGGTAGGTAATAAATACTTTAACCTATTATAAGTACTTACTGGACTTTATACTCCCATCTCCAAAGAACGTTCGATAAATAGTTATAAGTACATGCATTACCTTATAGATGTGCATTGTACTATAGTAAAGATAACCATAGAAATGTCATTAATAGCAATTTAGTTTTGTCCATGTTTTTATTAATCATCATACATAAAAATGATATCGTGAAAGCTCTTGTACTCACGGGATTTGACTCTACACCTATTAAGAAGTGAAAAAAGATTCATTAGTGAATATTTATATGTAAGTAATTACCTATATAATATTTAGATAATGGCCACTTGCTAGATTCATGCAGTGACACACCCACTACACAGTGAAATACAAAAACAGTATCATTATTAGAATTTAATGAAGAGAGAAAGCCATTAGGAGCAGGACTTGATTAAATCGTCGGTGAGCGGGTGTCGGGAGCTATGACGGCGGCGCCTTCTGTCGTGGACTAGCCCTAATCGCACCTACACGATTCTGATTATCCCTGATTGTTGTATCAATCATTTCCCCTATCAAATTATTCAGTGGACGGTAATTCTATCGCCTTTTCCTCGTAATGGCAGCGGAGATGGAACGGAAACGTTCGGCCGCACTTAGTCTCGGTTTGTTAACCGATGGATTGTAATTCATATGCTATTACTAACGAAAATTATATAGAAAATTGTCTCTGTAATACATTTGTTGGTTGAGATTCTCTTCATTAAACGTTTGTGTACCGTTAGAGAACGATTAGTTAGATACATTAATGATATGTTAACTTTTTAATGTAAGTAGATACGCAAACAGTTCTAAAATGATACATTTACAATTTTAGCCAATATTGTCTGTATTGTGTAATATTAAATGACACAAATAAAATATAGGTGTATTAAAAATAATTAAACATAAATTGTGACTCTTTTGTAATTTATAATATTGTAGTAAAGTATACATCACGGGACGATTTTATTCACAGAATTAATAAACCAGGATATAGAAGACTTTTACGCTTATTTGATTTGAGTAACAAACATGTAAACAGCCAAATATCTTTACAAACTTTAACATTTATAATATTAGTAAGATTTGAACGTATCAGTTTTTGGCAATAAATAAATAAATAAAAGATCTAACGACGCGTCGCTAACTCCGATCAAATATTTTTTAAATAACTTCAAAATATCCTACGTTTTTTCTTACAACTAAATTGACCATTATTTTAGTAAAGAATTGTAGGTACCTACAAGCCCACGACTAGGCTTAGAATTAATGAAAAACAATAATAATTACCTGCAGGTACGGAATGCTTGAATAAATAGAATACTCAGTTGGTAATCAAGTATCTTTATCAGGATCTAAAACCGCTAATTTGCGCTGTTATCCCATAAATTACTTGGAACGCCACAAATTGCCTTGTTTTTGGTTAATAAAATTAGGTACACGTAGCTAACGAATGTAAATCATTGAGCAGCATATTTCCCTTATCGGCCGCGTGTAACCAGACGATTAGCTATGCAAATCCATGGAATTTACCTCAGTGTTAAACGCTACCCTACGATATTGGACTATTTAACTATAATAGTACAAAACGGTTCTGGTGAAACTGTTTATTGTAAAATAATGATATTGTAGAACGATATTTGTGTACATAGGTAATTTTTTAATAAATGATAACAAAATAGTAACTTAGCCTCTATTCTTGTCTTACATTGGCAGACAACAATAAGTTATGGTAAGTAAAAGAATGAACTCGGATCTATTGGCTCATTATGATAGATTTGTTAGAAATTAACCAAGTTTCCAGGGGGGACCGTGGGGATGTCGACCTGATAATCGTTACGGATTTATAAATAATGTAAGTTTATTTTTTGTTCTTAAATAATATTGTAGTTCTTATATAAATATTTACGAAATAGATATGTATCTAATTAATATCAATAGGTAACTATTTGTTATGATACAATATTATAGTCTTGACATAGATAAAGTAATGAAAATGAAGAAAGTATCTGCTATCTACATTTCTATCATTAATTATACAAAAGTAGCTCATTCTTACTACAATTTGACTTATTAAATCACTCCCCTTATAACAATTATGGTAGAAAAAAGCGTTATAATTCGTTGATAAATATCACTAATTAGACGGCGGAGAGAGTGACAAGTACAAGAGCCTCGAATTAGCGGGGACACAAATTTAGCTGTACAGTTGTCTAATTTAATTGGCAATATGCGGGTTCCCACAAGTCAGAAAGTCACCCCCGCTCATTACAGCGCTCCAAATTTTCCCAACAATTAACATGCGACGTAGATAATTGCAGGTGTGCCGTGGCACGCAGTAAACGCTCGACACAATCACGCCATGCCAGACAGCTGTGAGCACATGCATCATTGATTTATTTTGGTTACGAAACGCTTTAAACCACATACATAGGTAGGTGCTATTTATTGCCTGTAGAGTATAATACTAAGTAGTTTTTATTTTACGAGAAGGTAAGAAGTTGTATCTCATTTGTTTGTTTTCACATGAAAAGCTTTACAGGGCAAGTAGAAAAAATTGATTGGTAAATAATACTTACATACCTATATCTTTTGCTTTATCCATTTTAATAATTCGTGTCCTGCAAAGTAACTAGGTAACACAGCATCTCGATGTTTTCTCAGATATTAAGTAGAGGTATAGACCTATACTATATATTGTTATGGTTGAATTATAAATTTCAAACTTTGCTTTAACTAAGAGTTCTATTAAAATGTCTTGTTAATATTTACCTAAGTATAGGTGATAAAGTAAATTTTGTTTATTACCTACTTGTTATTTTAATCCATTCGCATCGATTTCTCATTTGTAACTATGAGTGCTTAGATACCTACACAGCGATAAGTATATAATTACAATTATACCTTTAAGTCACGGTAATTACTTGACTTCTACTGTAATTGAAAAACTTTTCCATCGATATAAGTCGGCAAACAGTCGAAAATTATACTTTCTTCCACATTTCGACAATCTGAGATTTGTATCGGCCATATTTAGCGGTTATTACTATTTGAACTTTTAATAATCGTCGTCAGCGGTATATCTGGATATTTCGTGTTGCATTACAGTATAATGACTCGATGAAAGTGTAATTTAAAAACTTACAAAGTGATTACACTGTATTATAACTAATAAACTTTCCAATAGCCGATGTAGGTATAGATGGAATAAATATGTTTTTATATCTAGATGCAATATAAGTACATATTTGTATAGAATTTTATTTGCAACTAACTTTTTGATTGTTATTTGGTAAGCGTGGATTTTAGAAAAAGGAAAATCAATGGAAGAAATTTTTAGACGGTATCTAAAGATAAAACATACTAGTTTTTAAGTGAGGCCTTCAGGACTCTTCTTTCTTCATAACTATTAAAATTACGTCCAATTTGATGAAGTAGTTTTTGCATAAAGCCGAAAATATAAAGATAGACAGAATTTGTAAAAATTATCGTTTTGGTTTCTATTGATCTTATTAAGACCTCTTTATATTATTTTTTTTAAACATCTCACATATATCCCTTCTGGTTATAATTTTATTACATAAAACATTTTCCTAGATGTACCTATTACAAAGCTGTTGAGTAGTTATACCTTTTTAAAAAAGTACCTACGCTGATAACTACAAAAATCAGTCTTGGACATAATGCTGTTCACGTACTGGTGGTGCGACGATAGATATGCCTGCGCCTTCTCGAGTTGCTTGTGCAGCTGGGCGTCGGTGAGCTCAGCAAGCAGCTGCTCGCCGCCGCGTAGCACCTCCATGTCTCACAGCCGGCTCGCCACCTTCTTCCCGCGGGCCTTGACAAGCCTAAGGCGGATGGCGAGACTGGTGTGGTTGGAGGGTTTAGCGCTGGTGGTGTCGAGCAGCCCGTGCAGCTGGTCCTCGGTGTCCCCAGCAGGCAACTGCTCGAAGCCCCGCAGTAAGATATATTATATATTAGATATAGTATAGATAGTTAGTCCCTATTGCAATCAATATACCCTATCAGGTCGACCTCGTTGAATTCGTCATGATGGGCTAACTGATCTGCCTTTTTACCCTCACTATTAATCCTTCACTGGTGCTTCTTCCAGTGTATATCGATAGCGCAGGCTGGGTTATTATTCTAGTATCATCCATTAAAAAAATATATATATACCTCTTAGGTACCTACATATTTGTATGTAAAAAGTAAACAGTATTACCACTTATTCACTTCAATCAACTTATAATACGAGTAGCTAAGGTTTTCAATTTAACACGATATCTTCCTTAAAATAGAATATTTTAAAGTTTTTTTTTTTGCAATCGTTTGCGTTAACCTACAAATACCTATTGTTAGTTTTTGTGTTACAAAATCTTATTCCTTAAGGCATTATTGCTATATGAGAGTGAATTTAATTTGTCAGAGGTTAATTCAATCAAATCATTTCTCAAAAACAATCTCGAGTGGGAGCAGTGCTAGTTGAAACGTTTTTAATTTTTTTTTGTAAAAGTGCAACACTTTCTCAGCCCCCGTGAACAGGCGTGGAGTGCCCTTCAAAAAGCTACCGCGTTTAGACAAATGAACAGCGTTGCACCCTCTATGGCACACGCCAATCTACAATGATATAGAACATTCTAGAAATGATATACAATAGGAATTTTGTATACATGGACTGTCATGAAACTGGTGGTATAGTTTTTATTTGTAAAACTAATACAAAAGTAATATGTTTACAAACTTTTATATTTATAATATTAATAAGAAATAAAACTGAAGAATAATGTTCGAAAATTGTATATTTTGTGACCATATCATCGTCATATTAGCCGTCAATCATCCTCTGAACATAGGCCTAAACTACAAGAGGGGTTTTGCAAGTAGTTAATAAGTTTGGCAGGTGGGTTGACAACCGCAGTTACGCTTTGGTGGTGTTTTAAGAGGGACGCCGTTGTTCATCACTCTATCATTAAGTTTTCTTAGTCACCTCTTTTTTTTGTGATATTAAAATAAAAAAAAAAATACGTATTCTTTCTATCTGTAGATTTTAATTTTAGATGTCATTTAATTTATTTATACAAGTATTTGATGGTAATAAAGAAATTCCAAATTTATTATTTATAAATTTTGATATCTCATCATTAATTTTTTAATTCCCCAAATCTTTGTCCATTGCTAAACATAGATCTCCCTCATATTACGTAACAAAATAAGTCCTTACAACACTCTTGACATCGCCTCTCCATCTCAAGGGATGGTTATCCCACACTATGCTTGTGATATAAATGTGATTAATTTGTTAATATTTTTAACTTAATATATAAGAATTTATTTAAATTAACCACATATCCATAGTAATTCCTACTCATTGTAACGTTTGTAATGTACTTATTTTGATAGAAATTAATTACCGTACGGAATTATTTAGTAGGAAAGTCGATTCCAGTACAAATAAAATTCTATGCACCACACAATACAAGGCTCTCACAAAATGGCGGAACTCGTAGGATACAATAAATCAATTGGAGTGGGTGGTTGACTTTTCACTCAAATGTGTGGTTAATTGTAACCGAAAATGACTGTTGATCGAGCCACACTTAATTTGAGTGGTGCTTTAGTTGTTTGTACTTTGTAGGGGTTGCGTTATATAGCGTAGGTACAGGGTGTGGCGACAAGTAAGTTCTGTTCTATTGATATTAGGATCTAATATAGAACTTATCAAAAGTTTATATACTTATAAATTTTCTACATTTTATTGGATTAATATGTCCTTTTGACTTTAAAAGATTGATTTTAGTTCACCCTAGTGATATTAGTATAGTATTATATTATCTGTGCCTGTTATATATTCTGTTGCTATTATTATTTAACTTACCATACTTAATACTCACTGAAAGTAAACGTTAATGATATTCAATCTAATTATGCTTATGATAGGAGGAGGCTATATTTTTATGTAGGTGTATGTTACACAAGATCAGCATCAATTTCTTAATCGATTTTGATAATTTATTTTTAATCATTAGAGTTTATTCTCGTGTTAGTCCCATATTAATTTTGTCAATATTAATGTTGCTGTTTATCGCAAAACAAAATTTTATATTGTAAGCCATACATTCTTAGATTATTCATCATGTAGTAATTGTTCAGAACATATTTGATTAAATATACATACTATTATAATTCAATGAATTTAATGCAGCACTATTTGTCGTAAGGAAACGGTAAAAGAAACACAATATACCTATTCTCATCATCTCAGCCGTAATCCGTTCACCGCTGAACATAGGCCTCCCTTATAAACTGTCATAGGGTATGGTCCTGACCCACCTGCATCCACTAACTCCCGGCTAAGTGAGGTGCCATCCTAAACTCAAGAACTTTTCTTCCTCATTATTATTATTAGATCTACACATAGAATATTTTTTGTCCTAATCCACGTGTGCCGTGGGATACAGCTATTATAATACTATAAGATGTAATCGTTACCTACGCTAATAAATTTTATTGTAATTTATGCTAGGCCACTGTCTTTGATATAGGTGTAAATAACATCCATTTGGATCCAATCTATTTAACTTACATATAACATAACGTGAGACTGTACTTTCCGGGCGTCATGTATAGTGTCAACGTTTCCGCACCCTCTCGCGGTAAACCACTAAAACAAAATTACACTTTAATTGTCCATTTACGTCATTTGACTTTGTAGAATATTTAATTGGAGCGATTATTGTTAGTAACTTCACGTTTGTTTGTTACAATTCGTTGCCATGTATTTAATAATGTTTTATTGAAAATTACTTATTATTGCTACAATTTTGCAAATAAATATAAGTATGTGTATTTTATAATAATATATTCATAAATTGAAATTAGGTAAACATTTTTGTGTAGCTAAAAGATATTGATTCTATACTAAATTGATTTTACCGTTTGTACTCTTTTATTTATTCAAATATTATAATACCATATAGATAAGCTTCTTTAAATAATAATAATTAAAAAGAATATGTCTACATATTTTATAAGAAATAATTCATAATTGTAACATTCGATTTCTGATTTTGATATTCTGATATCAAATAATCAATATTAATCATTAGTAAATGTCGCTTGAAAGTACTAAATTCCGACAGCTTTGTTTAAGTCACAATTCTAGAAATCGACTATTTACAATTATTTAATTCTCTTCAGGCCAATATATTTCAATCATTTTCTTGAGGCGATCGTCTATCGGCTTTCCCTTAGGTGGTTGTGGGCCCAGCAGGAATACGAATTTTTCATGGCAGTCCATCATGCCGAGGTACATGTTCTCCACTATTTTTAGCCTCATGGGGTAACGATGAAAATCGGCTAGGTCTAATTTTGCTATAACAGAAATACAATCAATAAATTGAAATTTTTTACAATTCAAGTGATATTATAATTAAAAATAGTAAAGTGAGTACTTAGTTTGGAAATATATAAGCTAGAGATTGTCATAGTTGAATAAATACATTCATTTTGTACATACGAGAAATAACAATTCTAATGCATACTTTTATAGTAATTTTCCGTACTTCAAATAGGATACGTTTTATCGTCACGATATAATACGAAAGCAAAATGTAGGCAACTGTTATGTCGACGCTTTTAATTTACATCGATTGTAGATAATATACATGTTCATGATTACGGAAAATTAAAAGCTCTACAATTGCATACATTTTACTTTCCTATTGTATTGTGACGATAAATCGTGCCATATCTTGGCGTGGTGTGGTAATTTACAAAAGCACCTATTAGACCTCAACTCTCAGTACTGTCCTGGGTTTAAATGTTATGAACAACAATAGATACACACAATCAGTACACCTACATGTAGGTACTAGGTTGCATAATTCTGTAGTATGGATAAAATAACAATGACAGAATTATTGATTGGAATATGTATCAGTAATTTTTCTTCAACGTAGCATTTGTCTACGTGTAAGTCAAATTTCATGACGGTTGGCCGAATCTATGAATTCACTTTTACATTCGTAATATTTGCAAGGATGTAAGGAGATTTCATATTAATAAAAACTGTAATTATTTTCCCAAGTATTAATGTAGCTATCTCATAAATGTCACAAATGTAGAAACTTATAAAATTTTTGAAATATTAATCCCTTATATGACTAGACCGATTTAAATGAAATTTTATACATAAATCGATAATAGATTACTTTAACTTATATAGATAGAGTACGTATTATATAAATTAGATACCTGTGGAAGGGGGCATTTGCAGAGTTCTATAGGACCCGTCACCTTCCAGTCTTTCCAGATAATAATCCCGGGTTCTGTTGGACTTCACATCAGCACAAGGTATTTGCATTTTTAGGGTTAACTTTTCCCATTTAAGATTTTCTACGTACTTGCCAATGAGGTTTGATAGATCTTTGCGTTCCTTTTGGAAAAATAGTAACATAAATTAAATTAAAGCTAAAATGAACTAACTTTAAAAAAATAATAATAATAACAAGTAATAAACATTCACCGTCATTGCAGGAAGTTGTCTACTTCTAAAGGTCCATATAATGATATATAGGTAAAGACAGATGTCTTACTAATACATTTTATATGTAATATAAAATTTAAGATCTACAACAGTATAATTTTTGTCATTAACAGTAAGATATTTGTATAAATTTCCATTAGTTATATAATGGTGAATTTTGAATAATGAACCCTTAAAATTCTTTAAGTATCGAGTAAAAATTGTGAGCATCTACTATAATTCGAGTTTATTATTTTTATGGCGTAATCTTGTAGTAGGCTGACCCATTCCTAATGGCAGTCTATGAGGCAGGCCTATGTCCATCTATACTATCTATCTAAGCAATAGGAAGAAGGAATAAATGAATGGAAGAATGAGCGCTATTATTGTCAAGTAAGTATATAGTATTAATTACATTTTCTGTGACTGGTACTATCTGGATGCAGTGTGATTCTCCAGAGCCATTTGATTTTTCTGTGCTATAGTGCAGTAAGTGCCAGGTGCCAATAGCCTGGCTGTCGTTGAAGGTGAGGCCATTGGTGAATTCTTGGCAGTTGGGTAGTTTGTCAGGAGACTTTGGCGCGGCCGACGTAATTGTTATTACTGCGAACCCTGCAAACATATATTTTGTGGTTATTTTATGTTTTTTTTTTACAATACGGGGCAAACGAGTATGCGGCTCACCTGATGGTAAGTGACTACCGCCGCCCATGATCACCCACAACACCAACGGCATTGCAGGTGTGTTGCCGGTCTTTTAAAAAGGAATATGGTATTTTCTTAAAGGTTATGTTGTCGTATCGGTTCGAAAATACTGCTGCTGGAAGTTGATTCCAAAGAGTGGTTGTGCGTGAAAGAAAGTGCCTTGAAAAATGCACGGTGGAAGATCGCCACTCGTCCAGATGGTTGGGATGAAATTTTAGTTTATGGCGGGTTGTACGTTGGTAAAAATCAGCAGCAGGTATCAATCCGAACAATTCCTCGGAGCACTCCCCATGATAAATTCAGTAGACAGAGATGCAACATCTCTACGCAGTTTCAGTGGGTCGAGTCGGACTGTAAGGCGCCAATCGTCAACAATTCAAGCTGCCTGACTTTGAATGCGGTGTAAGGGTAGGAGCTGATACTGTGCTGCTGATCCTGCCCATAGGTGAGAACAATATTCCATATGTGGCCTGACTTTATACTGCATCTATTATTTAGGTCCATTTTTTTATCCGGTAAAAATTATCTTATCTAAGGAATAGGATAGTTTTTAACTCAATAGTTAACAATCATTATATTATTTCAGCCGTTTACTATTCTCTGTAGAACAGAGGCCCCCCCATAAGGGGGGGGGGGGTTGCCAGTAGTTGCTTGTTATAAAAGGCGACTAAGGGAACTTAATGGCCGAGGGATGAGCGTCCTTCATAAAATATCACCAAAACCCAACTGTGATTGCCAACCCGCCTACTAAGCGTGGCAAATATTGGCAAAACCCACCAATAGTGGGATGTTTATGTTCAGTAGTGGACAGTTAACGTGTTATGATATGCCACGCTTGGCAGGCGGGTTGGCAATCGTAGTAGTAGTTTCGTGATATTTTAAGAAGGATGCTGCTACCCCTCACTCGATCATCAAGTTCCCTTAGTCGCCTTTTACGACACACATGGAAGAGGAAAGGGTGGCTTATTGTATGCTGGGGCCACATGGCCTTACTTACGGCTACACGATATTAGTTAACAATATGTTATTAAAGTTGGTTGAGCATAAGGAGGTGTGAGTGAATGAATATCATGACACGGGATTTTAATTAAAGTTTAATGTCTGAAAGTACAAACTGAATTATGAACATTATATTAAACATAATTATTAATTATGAAATATTTTACTAGAGATCATGTTTGTAAATAACAAACTATTTATTTGTAGAATTCAAAATAGTAATAATTATTTAAGGGATAAATACCTGTAATCAAGCGATATAGTAGTGACATGTTGGTGCCAAGATCCAAGTACGGTAATGAACTGAATGAGTGACTTGATTGTGTTGTAAGGATGACAGGTCCTACACGGATAGAAAGCGGAATGGACATGGCATTATTACATGATTGTATAGGTTTTGAGCTCACTGTTAAAGACCTTGTGTAATGGTAGAGCATAACAATATGTCAATATAAATTTTTCTTTTCTAGGATGTCGTATGAGGTGGAGAAGATAATGAATAAAGCAAATAATTTATTATTAAAAAAATTGGAAATAAAACCATATATCTATACTAAGTCGCCTAATCAGCTAGGTGGGGGGAAAGGGATTGTTAGTAATGGAGACTGAGAATTCCATTGCTAGCAATATACCCAACCAGGTCGACCTCCTCGCGGTTCCCCCTGGAAACTATCATGGTTAATTCCTGATGAATTCATCATGATGGGCTAACTGGCCTGTTTTCATTCTCATCTCATCACCCTTCACTGGTGCTCCGGCAGCGTATCCCGTTAGCGCAGGCGGGGTTACCATACTATTCACCCATCAAAAAAAAATCAGCATAGGTTAATAACCTCTTTTTAAATAACCCGTGCACAGCAATGAGACTAATTGGATTTAATTGTTGTTTGTATATTTTGATTCATTGTTTGTATTGTATCATATTACTTTTTCCATACAATTCACAAATGGCAAATAAATTAATGAATCACCAGATGGAAAGTAACCACTGTCGTCTACTTGTATATTTGCACAAGAATGCACTCTTGGTTTATAGAAATACATTGTGACACCTATGGCATCTATTATGTGTTTTTATCTACTGTAACCTAAGTCTGGGTAGATTTTAGCATCTCCATAAGACTACAAGTGTATTATTTACGCATGGTTTTGTGCGATGAATGAGTGCACAGTAAACAGAATAAACGGGCACTTCCCGTCACGTCGTCCTTAGCAAATTGTCACCATAATTCCTAGTAATATGATTAAGTTCGATCCATATCTAGTTATGAAAAAACGGTTGAATTATATTTTTTATATGCGACTAATAACTTTGGATATTTAAAGAAAATTTTAAGATACATTTATTGTGTTCTGAAAACACTTGGAAAAAATACAGGAAATATTTGTTAATGCAACTTCGAACAACACCTGATGGAAAGAGGTAGCACAACTGTTTGGCGTCAGAAATATATAAATAAGTGAAATTGAGGAACCCATGCGAATGACTTTTGTACACAGTCTCCTTCCAATTTTAAAACCGTTATAATGGACTGTGTTTGCCCAATGAGATTGAATAATTGTTTGAAATCATTTTGACTTTATCGTAGTTTCAAGAAATAATTACATTTCTTAATGGTGTTTGGCAATAAAAGAGACGAGATTAAGTTGATACACGTCGTTTTGATAAAAAAATATTTTGCTGAAGTGGGTGTTATTTTACGGAATTCCATATCACTGGTTAGTTCATTAGAATTATTTTCTTTAATTCCGCTACCATTAGTACCTTATCCTGTGACTGCCAACAATTGAAGACTGACTACTATTACCAGAAGGTAAGTGTTACCCTTATTACCAGAAGTTCTACGACCTTCCTTATTATTTATTATTAGTCGAAAATTCATGGCTAATATGAAAGTTTGGGGGGGGGGGGGAAAGGGATTGTTAGTAATGGAGACTGAGAATCCCATTGCTAGCAATATACCCAACCAGATCGACCTCCTCGCGGTTCCCCCTAGAAACTATCATGGTTAATTCCTGATTAATTTATCATGATGAGCTAACTGGCCTGTTTTCATTCTCATCTATCACCCTTCACTGGTGCTCCGCCAGCGTATCCCGTTAGCGCAGGCGGGGTTACCATACCATTTTCACCCATCAAAAAAAAATATGAAAGTTTGTAGAATATCTGGTAATAACAAAAGTAGTCAATTTTCGAGTGTGGGTAGTCGCATAAATACTAATGGTAAAGAAAATAATTTTTAACAACCAGCCAATTAAAAATTTGTAGGCCAATAAAAGATCACCTTAAATTCAATGTTGGTAATTTTGATTGCTGCCAAGAAAAACTGTCTAACGTTCTAACGCTCACCTCCAATAACATTTTGTATAATAGGATCACCATTAAAAATTTTACACAGAAGCACCAGTTAGGCTAAATCCTGGATAGTCTAATTTGACTTTATATAAGTATTTGAGTATTTGTATAACTAGATGTTTTTATAGTGTGTGTTTGTATGCATGTATGATTCTGAACAGCTTAATGGGTGCCAAAAAATAGAGCTATCGCTAGATTTATATTAATTATAAATAAAACATATTTTAATGTTTTTCTTTAACTGTACCATGATTATTACAGACACGGATAGATCTAAATAGAGAAAATATTCTTTACTCAAAGTTCTATATGTCTATATTTCAAGCTGAATTTTTGAAACGTAGTGAAAGAATATATAGTTGATATAAGTAATTATCCTATCTCCATACCACGATGTAGGTATTATAATTACAACGTAAATGTACTTAAGTATAATATTTCGGGAAGCCGTAACATGTTATACGAAGAGCAGATAAGCTAATGATTATAATTTAGGCATATACAGGAACGTTTATTACGTGTCTTCTTAAATACACATTTAAATTATTAAGTATTTTACTAAGTATGGTATTACTGACAAACCGCAGAACTCACGAAAACGTCCTGTGTGGTTACAGTTAAGGAGTTCCTTTTGTTCTACAGCGTATTTAAGATTCAAGTGTGCGAATTTACTTTCCATGTTATTTATTACAATATAAACAATATTTGATATTAGACTCTACGTTGAAAATATTAAGGGTTAGTTTTAAATAGAATACTGGTGGTACTTTAAGTGCTGTGGTTAGGTGCATACGCGCACGCGCCCTTATAAGTGAATATTGCAACGTCCTTTGTTCTGGTACGATGGGTGTAGGTAGCTACGATGTGGCGACACCTGTCGTTCTGATCATTTCCAACAAACTTTTTTACAGTCTTAAAAATTTAATACTCGGTTGAATGCTAAAAAGAAATGTAATAGTTTTTTTATCGTTCTAGATTAGTTTTTATCATAATTAAGTATGATTATTTATTCTTTTAAATACAAAATTATTGCCTTGAAAATTTTAGAAACTTTAGAAATAGTGAGGTATTAATAATTTTTTTAAGAAAGAAAAGTGGCCTGTAACCTCGCCTGTGTTAGCGGCATACACTAGTAGGGCACCAGTGCGAGGTGATAGGTGAGAATGAATGTAGGTGACCGTGACTAATTCTATAAGAATTAACCAAGATGGTTTCCAGAGAGATCTACGTGGTGGTCGACCTGACAGAATGATAGAAATAATAGTCCCCGGTACTAAAAATCTGTTCAAACCATATCTATATTACCTTTTTTTAAAATGATAGCTACACTTCAAGCGTTTCATACGGTTGAAGTAAATTTTTTAAATATATGTAATTTAAAAAGTTATAAACCCTATGACAACTAAAGAAATTTTGGATAACTGTAGAACTAAATATAATTTGGCAACACTGATATTCTTTATCGTCCATGTTTGCCGTGTAATGGCGTCTTGTAATAAAAACTTGCAGTTGATTAATAATTTTGTTAACTGTCATATTTACATCATTCTAATAGACTCTTTATTATTAACACCGCACGTATTATTTAATAATCCGAATCCTATGTACTAGGACGAGACATTTACAAATAAATTATCACGAATTTACGAACAGTGTGAAATAATAATTTTGATACACTTTTTGATTTTTTTATTGTTTAGACGTCAATATGTATGTGTCGATGTCATGTTCTTACCGCTGCAGTGTGGTTGCAGAAATACAGAAAATAGTCAGATCTACGTTACTAGTTTATATTCAGCCTACGACTATCTAAGAGATTAGATCGTGCAATATCTTGTTAGCTTCGATGCACGCCCACAGGTGATGTTCGTTGTAGGTACTGTGGTTTTTCGAAATTTTATCTTTATACAAAAATACTTATGCAGCCAATTTATAAATAATATTTTTCACTTAAAAATTCAACTACAGTAAGTAGAGACCGTACTATTAGTAAATGATATGTAAATTATGTAATAATTTAATGATAAGTAAAAAAATAGAGACAATTTTTCCAAAATCAAGATGTGTCAATGCAGATAATAATAACATATGGAAGTATTATGGAGCTTTCTCGATCAAACAAATTACACGCAATTTAAACCGGTAGTTATTACATTAAAATAATAACGAAATAAAAAAAATATCTTTCAATTACAAACAACGTTCTCCTGTACACGCTTAATTTAGGAAAAACAGAAGTCGTGTTCATATTTTGTTTAATGTATACTTCTTAAAGAAGATTGTTTAGTTTCAAAAATATTTCCTAAAACCAAATTTCAGATTTTTATATGTTGCATACGTTCCGTTAAATCTTTGTACGAACAACACTTACACCATGTTTACATGTTTGTGTGATTATCGCAATAAACCTAGTTATTTCTATAGGGGTCTTATCAAACTCCACAATACAAATTCATATCATTGTACATGGAGCTTTTTCGGCATCTTTCATAGTTGTAGCCACAAAGGATGTAAGTGTATGCTTGCCTTGTAAGTTGTATTAGCAAAACAATATTTCATAACGATTCATTTGTTCACTTTAGAATTATTGTGTCTGTTCTATTCGTGGCGCGCTTTGTTCTGCACCCAGACATCCTGGCGTGGTTTTAATTACTGCCGACCGAATGCGTTAATGTAATCAAAGCTCGATACATCATACTCGCGCTATCGCTCCGCCTCGGTTTGATTAATAATTCTAATGAGCGGCGGTGCCAAACGAGTTAATTAACCGTTCGTTTTTTACCGGCTGTGCCACCGCGACCGGTAAACGGGCGCATCAATCACCGCTTTGTGTCCGCCGCCGAATTTCTTAATGATTGAAATGACGGGACGGCTCACCCCACGCCCGATGCGCTCGCGCCTTGCACTCTGACCGACAATATAATGTTGGTGCACTCGTCTTCTAAACATTATTTTCATATATACAGTAACCAATTTAAAATTCAACAAAAGCATATTACATACTTGAAATTAAATTGTTTCAGTTAAAAA